GATCACGATCGCGTTATCCACTCGTGGTTGTGCCGCGGCCTTGCTCTTTCGGTACGTCTGCCATAGCCGATCCACGCTCTTTTTGGCGGCTTCAGTCCAGCTGCCCTTGTCACTCTTACTCGACCAGTGCGTCTCGCAGTAATCCCACTTGAAAAAAGGATGGAGAACCATGGCGGCGACATAAACCGGCGTGTCATCGAGACGAGTGTAGTAGTCATCGAGTTTGATCCATCCGCGATTCACCGACGTAGCCAGATGGCTCCAGAACTTGTTCTTGTCGTCGTAGCTTGGCTCTAGCTGTGACAACGCGACTTGAGAGTTGATCTCGGCTTGGCACTTTAGCTTCTTTTCCTCAAGTATATCGAGAAGGGACTCGATTGTTGGCAGTACTAGCCAGATGGCGCCGAAGTTGCCGCCGGCATGTCCTTGGAGGGTATCTGTTGCAACTTGTAGAGGCGTTAGTATCTCACGGTACTCTTCAAGGTACGACCAGTCATCCGTCGTTAACGCGTCGTGAACCAGCGACGGCGTCGGTTGATCTTTTTTCTTATGCTGGTGCCATTCACCGATGACTTTGCTCGAGTAGTTATCAAGAGCTAGTCGGAGCTGGATAGCACGATCAATCATACTGCTTACGCTATTCCAGCGTGTAGCAACGTCTAAGACAAGACTTTTGACCGAATGCTCAGCACCGTTACTAGATGACGCGATGACGTGTTGCAAGTGCTCAAACTCGGCGATCCTCTGCGGCGAGGCGCGAATGTATCTAACCACGTTGTGAAGCTTGCCAACAGGTCCCCTTGAGCGCCATTCAAGGAGGGCGGCATCGACGTCGCCGGCATACTCGTCAAATAGCTCTTCCCTAGCCTCTATATCATGTCCGAACATTATGGCAGTGGCGACAAGGTTGAAGATATGGCCAGCACAGCGGAGTCTGATCTGGCGCTTGTCGGCGTAGCACTCTGGCAAGTGCGGCAGCAGAGACTCGATGCAGGTGTCGTTGTTAGACGCATTATCACAGACGAAGTAGCCGACCTTATCCATGATATTGAACTTTGTAAGCAAGCCTCGGAGACTTTGAGCGATGTTGGCGCCGGAGTGTTGACCATATTGACGTTGAAGAGCGAGGCGGACACTGCGGACTTTTCCTCCAGCGTCAACGAAGTGAGATACGACACCGAGCATAGACCTGTTGTTCGGCGACGTCCACAAGTCAAAACTGAAGCTGATCTTCGAGAGCGCGCTCCTTAAAGCCTCTATGACAGTCACAAGACTCTGTTTGTAAAGCGCCTTAATGTTCCTACCTACTATCTTACGAGAGGGGAGAGAAGCTGCTGCCATAGGGAGACAGTATTCTAACAGCGCACGAAGCTCCGCGCTCTCGACTTTGAGGAAAGCAATGTCATCTGTAATTATCCAGCGGTATAGTAAAGCTGAGAAGACATCCTTGTCGAAAGCGCTACGTGCTATGTTCTTTAATAAGAACCAAGTCTCAATCGAAGATAATAGTAAATCATGCTCATCGCAGCTATCTCTATCCGCAGTCCGCCTCTTTTTCGATGGATTCTCGACGCGGTGTTCTTTACGAAGGTGTTTAAGGGCTACCGTCGTAGCCCTAGCGACAGTGAACGCCGAGAACTTTATCGGCTTGCTCTAGTGACAATATCGGCATAGCTAGTAGGCTTGTTGATCGCTCTTCTTAATAAATCTCGAGCTATGCTCATAGATGAACGATTTCTTTTCGCCAACGTTGTCGACGTCGTACTCTCTCGAGAGGTATCGTAGATTGAAACCGTCGTATTCCCAAGAGTGTACAGAGGTATCGTTACTATTTGCGCCCGTGTTCGACTGAAAGTCGCTGGATCGTTGGATTGCGGTAGGTATCGAGAGATTTGATGTAGACGGTGGGTCTGACAAGTCGTCACTAATGATTGAGGCCATAATAATGAGTAGAATAGCGTTCTTTTTCGCGTGTCTCTAGAGTAACTCGGAGGTCAGCTGTGAGGTGACGTCGGGGTTACTAGCTTTTGATTGGCTGTCTGGACGCCGGCAGTATCCGCAGGGGAAAATAAGGGTTTGGGTTGCAGCTGGAGGGTCACGCTGAGACCCTAATCTATACGGATGAGTGACACAGCCACGCAAGCTGTTTTCAGCAGCATCTGCTCAACGGCGAAAAACCGTGCCAATTTCATCGATAATCTTCTGTCGTTCATGCGACAATACGCGTTCGATGGGGTCGATTTTGACTGGGAATATCCAGGCGCTCCAGATCGCGGCGGTCATCCTGACGATGGAAAGAATTTCGTCAGTCTGCTTTCGGAATTGAAAGCAGCCATCTCTCGCCAGCCTCTGCCGTACATTGTCTCATTCACGGTACCGACAAGCTATTGGTATCTGCGATGGTTTGATCTAGCTGCTGTGGATCACGTTGACTGGGTGAACGTCATGTCATATGATTTGCATGGTGTCTGGGACCAGGACAACCCAATCGGCAACCACGTGCTGGCTCATACAAATCTCACGGAGATCAAATCCGCTCTCGATCTTCTGTGGCGAAGTAAGTCAACAGTCTCCAATCTTTCCAATCCATGTATCCCACGACACTTTTGGACAATGAAGCCTGCACAAGCTTTCATGATCGACAGTCTCATATATTCGCGCACAACTTCTTGCAATTATACTGACATAATCCTTGCGTACAGATCAAGTCCCTGCGGAAAAGCTGAACCTTGGCGTAGGCTTCTATGGCCGCTCATTTCAACTATCTGATTCGTCCTGCTTTACCCCCGGCTGTAAATTCAAAGGCGGGGCGTCGCCCGGACCCTGCACAGACAATTCTGGAACGTTGTCATACCGGGAAATCATGGCGATTATCGATGAGTATGGTGTAGAGCCTTACCATGATGAAGAAAACGCGGTCAAATACATAACTTGGAATCAGGATCAATGGGTTTCGTACGATGACAAAGACACTTTCAAGGCAAAAATCGACTACGCGAACAGTGTCGGACTCGGTGGACTTCTTATCTGGTCAATTGATCAAGACACTGACAATCTTGACGCTCTCTCGGCTCTGCTGGAGCCGAAGAGTCTGGCTTTCGTCCGGAAAGAGGCCGATAATGCAGATCTTACGAGAGATGCCACTGAACCAGATTGTTACGTCAGTGATTGTGGAGGTTCCTGCAAACCTGGATTCATCTCCATCACCAAACAACCTTGCGGGAGTGCAACTCCGTTTTTTCGTCACTCCGATCAAGCCGACAGTACCCTGTGCTGCCCTCTCACGGCAGCGCCAGATCCAAAAACGTGTACTTGGAGAAGTACAGCACCGCTTTGCAATGGTCACTGCGAGGATCAGGAAGTACTCGTCCAAATGAATCCATGGGGAGACAGTACCTACTGTGAAGATGGCAACAAGGCGTATTGCTGCAAAACGAGTGACCACAGTAATAAATGTTACTGGACAGGCATGGGTGGCGACTGCAACAGTGGGGATACTGCATTCACGTTCGCTTCAAATTTCTTCCACAGCTTCGGTATTTTTGTCGGCGTCGCACTCGGCGTCGGTACCACGATCGCTCTGTTGCTCTCGGTTGTTGACCCTCCTTTCCCCGAAAAGAAGTGGCATATATATACTGTGCATTGGGACGTTTCGAAATGGGTTGAAGTGTCTGGCCGGCGAGTTTTGAAGTATGCTGGGCTGAGCGAATCACAGTGGCTTCTGTTGAACGGCGCGCTCTTGCGTCGACTGGCAGAACGGAATTTCGAAGGAGATGCGACCAGCTTTCTAGATGCAGCTCCGGCACACTGATACCCGTTTGAACATACAGCAGCGTCGCCCGTGTGTACTATTACGATGCTTTCTATGCGTAGTCAAGAGCTTCTAGGTTCTCTTGACGGCAAGGTAGTATATGCTCGAGATTCAGGCCGCAACACAAGTTGCCTTGAGTCTCGATCAGTGCTCTTGCTTCACAATTTGCGAAGGGGCGTGCTTTTCTGTACGCGTCAAGCCAGTAGCTTGAGTGGATATTCGGGAGACATCAGCGCACGGCGATCTTCGGTTCGTGGTACAGGGATAGAGGTTTGTTTGATCAGAGGCCTTCCCGACGCACGTGTCGTGATCGAAACGTGTAAGAACATGGCGCGGCGCGAGGCTAGAGTGGAGCGATCGTTGCGCTAGAAAACAGCGTCGTTTCATGGTCGACATCGCATTGTAGATTATGGACGACTTTTGGCACGAATCGACATTTACGGAACGACTTTAGATGCGATAACCCTGTCCGTAACGTTGCGGACTTCGTGCGCCATTACTGCGGCATTCAAGCCGTATATTTTACCATCCAGTGCGGGATTTACATCACGAGTGCAAGGACCTTTTCTATTCATCATGTTTGCAGGCAAATCCTGACACGTCAAATCATAGTTCGATACCTTCCCCTCGGCCATTTACAGCACGATCAAAAAGTCGGCTGCACGAACTGGGAGGTTGCTTCGGGTAACCAAACATCCACCTCCTCCAGAGCACATCTTAGACCTTACTCACCATATAATTAAGGCAAACTGCCGGCTGGCATGCTCGGCATCTGTAGTCACGAACAAGGCGGCGCCAGAGGCGGTGGAAGTTATCCCGTCTCTTTTTACTATGGCTATGCGGATCGAACGACCGGGGCGCCAACCAGCTGCAACATTCTCTACGCAAGCACCTGCAAGGTCCAGTCCAGCCAAGAACTTTCGATCACCGCTGAGCATTCTACTCTGACATACCTCGCTGCAAGTGGTGGCAATTTGACCCTGTGTCAGACTTTGCCGCGCAAGTTCGCGTGCTATAATTATTCGCTTGTTACGACGTGGTTGTTCGGCAGGCCAGTGAATCTGTTTGTAAATGATTACATTCACGCGGAAACGGGATAGGAGGATTAGTCATCAGTATCTGGGCATATGCTTATCTATCTGAGTGCGGTCTCGCTCGTCCACTCGCTGCGATATCTTTATACCCAGAGATTACCCGTAGGTTTTGAGACCAGGACACAGTGGGTCCGTGATTTCATACCTGACTCTCAGTCACCGATAAGCTACTTTTCTCACGCCAGAAAATCATCCCTCTAGTCGCTGTGGGGATAGCGAGAGTCGCTCCATATCTGACAGCGAAGGTGAAAAACCAGCCGTGGCCCAGTCGCCAGCCCGGCGGCAGCCACAATTCGTCCTCTCCGAATCGCTGTATCCAATTTCCATCCGCGTTTAAGCGGAGTGGAGCCGGTCGTAGGGCAGAGCATGACATCGCTGTCGAGGGTGCGTGGATCAGATCGAAATCGCCCACGTTTGTCCGCAAAATTGAACCATCGGCCGAAAATTCAAGCTGTCTGGGTGAAGCGACGTTCGCGCCAGCTGAAAGCTCCAGCAGTAGTTCCTTTGAGCTCGCATCCCAGAGTTGTACCGGCCATCCCTGTTCTGTTACGCACGCGATGACTCCATTGCAGCTTATGGCGACGGTAGTCATCTGTTGCCCATTGGGTTGAAAGCGATGCAATAACGTGCCAGTTTTCACACACCAGAGACAGACAGCGCTGCCAAAGTGTCCCGATACCAGAGACATTCCGTCCCCTGCGAACAAGAGTGACTCTATTGGATCCGTCCCTGATGCAAACAGTCGTGGTGTTTCGTCATGTGCTCCGTTCTGTAGGTAGATGAATCCGCCGCCCAAGCCTAAGGCAAGGACCGCACCGTCGGTCGAGAAGGTCATTGCCACGGCGCGTTCGAAAAATTCATGGCGGCGATGGAACTCTTTCTCTTTACTCGTCACCCACCATCGCAAGATCTTGTTCCTCGATCCCGATACGATCGAAGACCCATCTGGTGAAACGGCAAGTGATCTGATATCCCCAGCTAACGATTGATCTGCTGAGGTCAATAATCGCAATTCCTTGCCGGTAAGCGAGTCCCAGGTTCGCACTTCCCCATTCTCATGGCCAGATACTAGAAAGTTTCCGTCATCGCTGAAAATACAGACAGTCACTTCGCTATACTGCAAGTCCTGCTCGTCCCCTGCTCCATTTCTTGACGAGTTGGGCCAAAGCCGAATGATATTGTCTGATGTAGCCGACGCCAGCTGATCCGTTGTCGAAACTGCAATGGCGATCACGCTGGAGGCATGGTCGATTGGCTTTCCTATCTGTTGATCCGCGCGCGGGTCCCACTGCTGCGTCGTCCTGTTTTCAGCGAAGACCAGCTGAGCATTTGGTGCAAATGCCATGCCGTGGATATGCGCCACAGACTTCTGCCAGATACAGCTCATTTCACCACCAGACCATGTCCAGATACAAATTTTGTCGCCCGTTGCGTATGTGGCTAAATACCCCTCTGTGGAGAAGGCAATATGCAGTACCCAGGATGAATGGCCTTTCCATTGGCATGGCTGCCCAGACCAACCAGGGTTCCACATGAAAAGCTGACCGTCACTTGTCCCGGCTACCAAGCGTCCGTCGGGTGATGTACAAATGACCGTGAAGCCAATCTCGGTTTCGACTTCAACATCAGAGCTATTGGCTTCTTCTGTGTTAGCTTTTGCCTCTAGATGTGACACAAGTTGAACGTCTCGGCCCATTCTGTCGCACTTCCATATCATTGCACTGTCATGTCTCCATGCAATGCTACCGTGAGGTGAGATAGCGACGGATCGAACGCGGGATCCTGGTGTCAGGCCACTGAGGTGGAAGTCCCACAGCCTTCTTCCTGTAGCCACCTCCCAAAACTGCACGTGCCCAGTCATTGTCACTGATACCACCTGCTTTCCATTTTCGCAAAAGCCGAGCGCCGAGATGTAGTCCCGGTGCAAACCCAAACTCAACTGATCTCCAGTGAGTGACCACAGCCGTAGACTCTTATCATGAGATATCGAAGCAAGCATTTGCCCGTCTGGGGAGAATGCTATGTCTCTGATTGCTTGCGTGTGACCTTCAATCGACAAAGAATAAAGATCCCAATGCATTGGAATGTCCGGCTTGACATCCCAAGTGCTATCCAGGTTTGCAAAAAAGGCCCGCAGCGCGGAGCTCCGCTCAGGTGTAAACCGTGCTCCCACATAATAAACTTGTAGTGGTGCGACTTCGATGACCGATTTGAATTTGGAGATGAATTGGTAAGCGTCTCCCAGTAGCGATGCTAAACTTTTACATCCATCACCCTGCACAGTTACACTTCTTGGTCAGCCAACTCGTTTTAGGTTCATGGAGAAGCACATATAGCTACCTTTGACAACTTCACGAGATCTGAGATTGAGGAAATTGCAAGAACACATTGTCCGATCCAGCTCATGGCTTCTAACCAGTGCATCAAATGCTTCGTCAAAAACTTGTGAGCAAGGCCATGGTCAGCAATTCGATCCTCACTTGCCGTGAGATGATGCGGCCAATACATGCACGCATATGCAACATCGGGAGGTATGCTTTTCGTGACCTGCTCTTCGCTAAGATCTATGCGTTTGAAACCGGGCTTTCGAACATTGCAGATGTCTTGTCGAATGGCGTCTTTTGCCGTCAGTAATTCTAGACATTTCTCACCAAGCTTCCTGTTTGTTTCCATTTCGTCGATTCGGAATCTCCGATTCGCCTTATTCTCAGCGTCGAGGAGGAACTCGCGGAAGGAAAGATGCAGGGTCTGTATGGGTTGAGAAGTATTCCGGGGCACGTTCAGGACGGCTTTCAGCTGACTGACTATGTAATTTATATCGTCGATGTCAATTTGTAAGATCTTCGAAAGTGATTCTGCCGACAGTGGATCAGCCGCCAGAATGATAGGGCCTACAACCCTTTTGAAAGTCTGAATGTTTTCATCATCGTCATCAGTGTCAGTGTCGTCCACATTCCTGGCAAGCTGCTGGAGAACCTGCGTGTAGATTATCCTGAGATGTGTATATTCTGCATCAAGGCGGACCGACGACAGCACGTGTCTTTCGTTCAGAATACCCTCCAGTCGCTTTCGCGGAGTCTTTTCTCTGACAAAGCGACAAACAGTGGCTGCGAAGATGAATAGCGGCACAGCTCTAGCGATAAGATCGTCAATCGCCTTCGAGGTGGGCCATTCGGTTGGAAACACCTCGTCGTCGTATTCTGCACGGATCTCGGCGAATTCGTGGATGAAATACTTGCGGATATCATCTTCGATGCTCGAGGACTGAACCTCTTCTAGCACGATATCGTCGTGCAATTTTCCATCGACCTTTCTAAATCCAGCTTCGATAGGTGTTTCTGGTCGGCTCGTTATAAAAATACGCAATTCTAGGCCCTTTATTGCGTTCACCTCGGCAAGGAGATCAAGAAGTTTCCGGACATGTGTTCGCTCGCATTCGTCCAGAGCATCAACAACGATCGTGACACGCCTATCGGGAAGCTGTACCAGATCCAAAGATTCTATTGGTTTCCGGAAAAGTTCATCAAATTGAGTCTGAAGATTGCTCCTACACAGAAGTGAGTTCTTGTCGAGTGCGTCAGCGACAGGCTTACGCAGAGCTGGGACGTGGTTGCAAAGTTGAGCCACGATAGTCGCAAAGAACAGATCGGGATTACCTCGGCCAGCATGACCTCTCTTGAAAATAAAACTGGCTCCGATTCGTTCGCCATTCTTGAGCTCCTGCGCAACGGTGCGTGAAATTGTCGATTTTCCTGTGCCGGCCTTCCCGCACAGCCAGAAGATCGACTTCCCTTCGGGCTCTCTTGTCCAGTTCAGTATCATCGTGATCACCTCAACTCGTGTTCCTTCTAAGCAATAGGGCAAATGATACTGTTCGCTCGAGTCAAAAGCTGCACCATAGACGACCTCCAGTTTGGACAGATCGAACTTGACCTGCAGCGTCTCCAGTGAGGACTTTATATCAGCAATGGCATCGAGTGCCTTTAGCTGAACTTCGAGCTCGTCCCTCCATTTTGCCGTCTTGGTTCGATCCGATGCGGCTAGATGCCTGTCACAATTGGAGACCTCAATCGCCAACCGTGCGCCCAGCTTATCACTCTCCGCTTCGAAGTCTTGAATCGTGCTATCTTGCCAGAAAGTTCGAAGTCCCCGCAGTGCTACAGGGGTCTTGTAGACCTTGAAGGCTTGGGCAAGAAATCCTAGGACTTTGGCGTAGAGCACTACCAGGGCTTTATGGAAGTTCTCGGTGGTCAAGTCTGTCGGAAGTTTTTGAAAGAAATGGAAGTATGCGCGCAGACGGTTAGCAATCCCCAACCCGAGATCCATGCCAGTGACGAGTGTGGCCATTTGGTCGACATCTGCGATAGCGACAGAGAGCAGGATTTTGACGCCTGCCCAAGGCAAACCGGCGTGAATGGGATCGAGGCCAGCGATGGCATCGCCCACGCTTTTGAATCTGTCGATCCATTGGACAATGTTTGAAACTCTCCGTCCTATCACTCCTCTCGAGTCTTCAATCTTTGACTTCAGCTTATTCGCTCCGTCGTAAGCCTGTTGGACTGTTTCACTTATGTTCGAAGTAACGAAATATTCCTCTACTACAGCCCGATCGGCTTCATTGAGCTTTTCGAGAGCCTCCGCGATGAATTGGTCATATGGCTGAGAGACTATCGGCAACGAAGTTGTTGCTGGCAGCGGGGGCGGAACGTCGACATTTGCGGAAACGTTCCCAGCCGCTGGCGCTGAAGTCGGCACCGCCGCGGTTTCGCTTGTACGCGAGTGGCCGACTCCCAACTTTTTGAAGAAGCGATCGCGCCGTCGCATAGGCGCCTTCTCGTCCATCACGAAAGCGTTCTCGGGTCAGCAGTGGAAAATCTGATTGTCTGCGTCCTCCATCAGTTTTCGAACTGTCTGACAACATCGGTGCCTGACGGCAAGCTGACATAATGAACACAGGCAGCGACGGCGACACGAAGCTTCGCTGCATGGTGTCCCGCCAATGACAGTATAGCTCCTCCGTGCCACCGCATTTGCTCTCGAAGCCGGCGACAAGAGCGGGTGCTGACAGTCCAGCGCAGGATCTACGATACCCTTCATAAATACATCGTCGCACATCATTTGAATTTGAACAAGAAGCACATGGCATAAAACCGGATACAGGAACAAGATGTTCACAAGTACAAGCGCGAAGATGAGCAGTCCGGACCAGCCGGGCTTCATCATCCTCCCATTCATCCTTGTGAAGAAGAAGAACTTTCATATCGACATTATCAACAATTCTATAAAAATAGTGAAAAGGTTTTATCCAAAGGCGAAGCCGAAGCGAAAGGTATTTTCATCTCGCAGCGTCACCGGTCCCCCTCCGTCCCACAAAGACGTCCCATCGGGGTCCACCCAACTTCTCCCTTGCACGGCGTTGTAGGACCAGCTTCCTCGCGGCCTGGCGCAGCATGATCTGTGGCGGAGCGTAGCTGTCGACGAGAGCATCATATTCGCGGTGGAGGTATTTGTCGGTTGCGAGTTTCATCTCTGAAAGGGTGGCGCCGCCGGGGATGACGGGAGATGCTTGTGTTGTTGAGATCTCGGAGTAACGACTGTGGCGAAGCGAGGATGTTTTGTGTGATTTGTGGTCGTCGTCGTTGTCGTTGTCGCTGTCCTCCTCTGGCGTCTCGGAAGACGGTTCAGGCGGAGGGTAGGCGCCCTTGCGCCAGTCGTCCAGTGGCATGCCTTCTAGGCCTTCCACGTTGAGGCGTTTGTACCATGTGTTTTCTCCCCGAGCAGCGTTTCTTGTGGCCACATGTTGATGCTCTCCTTCGGTGTACTTGATAAGGACGTTTTGGAAGACGGCGAGATTCTCAAGAAACTTCGCAATGAATGGTAACCGATGGAATGGCGACGGAAGTGTTGTAATATGGCCATCTGTGGACTGAGCAAAGCCGTCCAGGCTGCGGTTGGGCCGGCCGGTACCGAGACTGAGCAGCAAGGCTGGATGAGGCGCTTTTCCAGAATACAGTGCATGAAATTCTGAGAAGGCAGCGCCAGATGGGTTATTCTCGCGGATACCGCCATCTTTGAAAAGCTTCTCCTCATTCGAGCCAGGAAGTTTGGCGCGGACCATTTCGAAGTAGAATGGTGCAGCCGAAGTTGCGCGCGTGGCGACCCAGATGGGCAGGGCGTCCGCACCTTCGTTGTACCTTGTGATCCAATTGGGTGTTGCGGCAGTGTAGTACAAGGGATAGGAGCGGAGAAGGTATGCTTCGGTGAGGTTACCGTCGTGTGTTGCGGCAAGGCAAGCGGCATGGCAGATCCTTGGTTCGTCGACGTCAAGCGTAGTCTCACCATCGTCCACCGCAGCTCCAGGAGTGCCTGCGGGCCATGGGTAGAGATCATTGCCGTCGGAATGACCAGGCGCGGTAGACCTTGCTGCGACCACTGCGCGGACAGCTTTCTCAAGTGGTTCGTGGTAGTACTTTGTCATGAGCGGAATATTACTTCGCCTTGAGCCGAAGAGGTCGTTTCCCACCTGGCGATAGAGTTCGAGTCCTTCGCTGACGGTCATGCGAAGACGGCCGAGTATTGTTGCAATCAGTCCACCCGTGGATGTGCCGTACATGAAATCGAAGTAATGACAAGGGAGCAACTCCTCTTCCTTGAGCGCCCACCGCTTACTCGGTTGTGCTGTAAGACTGTCTCGGCGGAGGATTTCCGATGCGGCTGCCGGCGGGGCCGGATTGATATCACCATTGGCTTGCAAAGGCTGTGATGCATCTTCGTTTGCTCTTCGTGACCCTGGTCTGCCACGAGGATCGTCGACATCATCATCACCAAACCCAGATTGATCTTCTCTCCAAGATGCACCGGAAGCTTGCGCTGGGCTGTCTGCTCGTGCTTCAATCACTATCCCATCAAGCTCGTCGTAGTACTTTTCCCACAGCCATACTTCGTGCATCAAAGCCTGCAGTATCAGCAAAGTGCTATACCCTCGAATGCCACCTCCATCGCATGTTAGTATACATGGCCACCAAGGATCATCTACCGATCGTGCCCAAACGCGGCCAGCTTTCTCCGAATCGCGAGTCTCCTCACGACGTGGTGCACGACTTGAGTTTCGCCTCGCGCCGGAAGCGGCATCGTTGTATGAAATATCGGGGAACGGGGACGCCGGGACTGGAAGAGTAGAAACGCTTGTGTCGATAGCGAAGGATGTGCGCCGGCGGTCGGCCTCATGGTCAGTCATGGTGATTGTATGTGGTGAGTCCACGGCTGGTGTCGGCGTGGATCGCACGAAGGACCACGGGTTGAGGGGGATTGAATCCACCTTGTCGGTGCCACGAATGGCGTGCTGTATATACGTTTAAGGTCTGTTGGGTTTTGTCGGCGGAAAGGTGTATATGAGGCCCGTCCGAACTTCTCTTTATCTGTATTATGTTCTGGCGACAAGAACAATGGGTAACGAAGGATTCGCCGAGTGTGTCTCAATGATGCAGCGGGTGGCTTCAGGAGAATGCGGCGGGAGGGAGCAGCTCTTTAACAAGTCCGGACAGATGATGCCTGATGGTGTGTGACGACTAGCCCGTCTGTCGTAATGGTTGCGTTACTTTGTTGTTTGAAGATATCACAGGTGAGCTCAGGTGAGGGCAGTGGTGGACGTCCATCAGATGTGTGCTCCCATTTGAAACCGGAATAGGATCAATCAGTGCCGCGTTGAGGTGGTGGGTCGTGTTTTGGGACGCGACAAGAGTCACGAGCCGATAAGTATCGGGTGGGTGTGGTGGAGACCAGAAGACCAAGAGATGATGGAGTAGTCGTGTAGTCAAAGTCGTGTTGTACTGTCTGCTCAAGTGGTAGCTTCACCGACGAGATCAGCAGGTCGTGATGGGGATGATCGTTCGAGATTGGACTCGTAAGAAGCGGTTCGAAAGGTGTAAATGCTGGAAATGTAACGCAAGAATATCCAAAGATGTCTCAATCCGCTATGCAGTAATATCACGCTGCGCAGCAAACAATAAATCGAGACGCGGTGTTTGTGTCCAGGTTTGTGATGTTTAATGGTTCCGATGATGTAGCACTCGGGCGGGCTGGGAATTCCACAACCTTGGACGATTCAATTGATCAGTCACCGCCGCCTAGGGCAGTCGCAGCTGGAGGGAGGATTCCACATTTGGGCGGAAGGTTACGTGGCGCGCCCCTTCCGTCAAGGGCGGCCGCCTGCGCAGCCCTGTATCAGAAAGAGCTGGAGGTGTCCACAGGCCCTCAAGGGCTGATCTAATGTGAAGCAGAATCAATGAGACAAGGCGACCATAATTCCACACATGACATGACCATTCCATTATCAGTGCTCTACACGAAGGACAATACAACGCTGTATCTGCGTTCGACCTTGGAAGCATTTATATATGGCTGTTGTTTACTGCTGTACACGATGAACAGAGCGTCTGGGGACTTCTCCAATTTCCATGAAAGACCATATCTAGGTATCGTTACTTTATCGTCGGGTGCCGCGCGGGAGATACTCTCATTGTTATTCTTAGCGTCAGCACGGCATAGATTCTAATGTTCTGACTGCGAAATGCCTGCGGGCATGCGACATGACACAGGCGCAATGGGTGTCACAATTGATCAGATGCAGGTACTCTAGGTGTCCGTCAAGCAGTGTAGCCATGTTGCAGCAGTCAGTGACACGCCTCCAGGGCTCGCAACAGTGATTGTCAGGACAAGCATTTCAAGCCAAACTCAAGTCTAAAATTCCCGAGCCCGAAATGCACTCCTTCCGCCTCCACGCCTCCTGCCGGCGCACGATCACCAGAATGAACCTCGGTTGAGCCGCGAGCCTGACAGCCACACCACAAACGCCTCCAACGTCGCAAGGGCCCGCCGACTCACATCGGATCTCCGAGCGTCCGTGATTGTCCGCCCGACCAGCGATCTTCTGAGCGCCACGACATCGGGCGCCTACAGAGAAAACAAAGGTACGCCTCCCGCCATTGTCTCATCACAATTGCTCCTCGACAGCCACTGTCGGTCGAGAATCGCATCCCACCGTAGACCGGGGAACTATCGAAATGCTCCCCGCCGGATCTGATCTTCCCCATTGGAATATCTCCATGATCGACGAGACGGGGTGGAGGGTCGGACAGAAAACTCTGTCGCGTCACGATGCGCGTCCGGATGAGGCAACATGATGATGAGCGATATAAAGGAAAGTACAGTACTAGGTATGGTTTCCTTCGACCAGGTGCGAGAGAGTTATCGTGCTTTTTACATAATGTCACACTTCACATCCCTCAACGTTGAGCTGGATGGAGATGCGACATTGCTCTGCTACTCAATTCAGGTCATTCTGATTGGTCGTTCACACGATTCCTGTCACGCATCATCACCATTCATCACTGTTACATGTCATTTTTCTATGTGACTATAACGTTTTGCAATGAGGTTTGACGCTTCAGTATGACACATGTGCTATCAGTGACGAGGCAATAAAGATAATCCGATATCAGAGGCTCGATTGTCTCGAGCTCAATTGTAGACTGCCCAGGTGGACTTCATGCCGCAATGACTTTCGTCCTCCACGACGACGAGTCAAGTACTTGTAGGGTCACAAGGTCGTTGGCACTCGGCGGGACAGCGGGTTGGTTCCGAGTATTCATCCTCTCACGTGAATTGTCATCACATCACAGCGGGGGTGGTTTCCAGGTTTTCCTTGTCCGCCGGAGACCTTGGTTTGTTCGCTCGCTCACCTGCGACCGAATGGGTCATGGGCTACAACACGATCGTCTGCTGTCCGTCCAGCTGCTCACTCCGGGAAGCCGTCATTGTCATTCAGCTGTTCCCGCATGATCCAGTCAACATATAGCATTTAACGAGGAATTGACGGGCGTGTATACGTTCCCTCTCCAAATGCGGCCGCTGGCTCGATTGATCATTTGGTATGCAATGTAATCAAACAATACCTACCTAGTCATATGTCATTCCAGCCGTGGAATCTTCTTCGTCCGTGGACAGAATGGTGCGTACGACGGCTGATGGCACCCGACGAGGATGATTCCAGAATAGACTGGACTGCTGCGCCACCTGGGCACCTTTCACACCTGCATCATCGCTGCTGTAGTTAGTCATCATCCGTGGCTGAGGCAGTTGGAGAATGTCACTCGGAGAACTCCTTCGGGGTCCACGGGTCCAGCCAGGCTGCAGATGCGAGACAGCGCAGTACATCGCAGCACGGCGCAATACTGTTATAATAGCTAGGTGACTTAAGAAGCCCCGACTAGAAATAGAGTTGCATGCACCGCCTCAACGCGCTGCGTCACGGGACGTTTCCAAGTTGTGATTCTTTGTCGCTCTCCCTCTCACCAGCACCCACCATTGACACCGTCAGACCTCTCGATCATTCCGTCCACCTACGAACACAATTGCACCTCGGTCAAAGCACGGTATATTTGCCCGTTCGACATTCCCACAACATACTCTCACGTGCGTCATCCCGTACATTCCAGCCTAAGGCCTCGCCTTCTGACGATCCGACCGGGCCCCATTCACCTTCAGCGCCTAATAATCCAAACTTGCGCCCTCTTCGTGATCTCCACTCTTCTCTTCACGTCAACACACTCTCAGCCAGCCTGACTCGAATACATCGCGGGGCGAAGAATAAAACGAAACTCTCTGTGTCAAAGTTCAAAGGACACGAGGCGGACAGCAAGGCGTGACAAAGTCGTCACCAGGCCGCCCTTACTCCCGTGCGCAATCACATATTCAACACATCTCCTCCGAATCCTCTGCACGTGATTCTCGCATTGTCCCGTCGGGCATCACTCACAAACATGACCACTCTATCATCCTCCATCCACAGCGATGACAATATCAGACACCTCGACCAGTCTTCACATTCACCAAAGACCGGCACCGGTCTGACCGACTCGACGCACAGCAGTAGCAATGGTAGCGCCTCAACGAGCAGCAGTGCGGAACGGTATCGACTGGACGAGTTTGATACAAGCCCAATCTTGCTATACAAATACCGAGGTGGACTGAGCACATCATCCCAGAAAGACCTGTGCGCATGGTTGGACAAAGGTGAGCAACTCCATGATTCAACGGATACAGTCAACGGTGGTGCGAACAGCAAAGCTAACATACCTGCTACAGACCCAAGCCATCGCGTTACCAGAAAGCCTTTACCAAGATACACCTCCTTCCTCGACATCAAGCGTCATGACCTCTACCTACCCTCCGAGCGCACCGCCTATGCTGATCTTCCCAACTATGATTCATCGCTCGCCTCTGTCAAGGTGCCCATGGGTGCTTACCTTTCGCGCATCCTAGGCCGAGGTAGCTATGAAGACTTGTTCATCGTCAGCCCTGAATCCTCAGACCTGAGCGCTGGAAGCAGCCCGACAAGCCCTGTTGAGAATACATCAAATTAATCTTGTCGCAAGAAATTGGTGTATCCGCTGTGCCATGGAGTATCCTTAGGCACTCTCACTAGACGAAGTAATGATTCGATGATGGAGACTCTAATTTTCTTTCGTTCATATGGGCGGCGTTTCTGATTCTCCCCAATCTCGAGAGCATAATGCTCAATCCGGGTCGAACGATCATACAACGATGCCGGCTTGAGGATATGACCTCGGTTCGATCGTCGCAAAATATATACATTTCGAAATATCATTCGTTCGAGATTACCACAGTCCATTCGGATAAACCGTAATTCGCAGTTCACTCCAACTACTCGATTGTCGTCAAAGGTAATATGCCATACCTACACGTCGAAACAAAAACGCAAGCCCCTGCCCGCCAATTACAATTCGCATAATCCGCTTATTAGACGTCATAGTTGCCCAGCGAGCAAATTGCCATATGATATGATAGTCTGCCGTTGCAGGCAAATTTGGACGCATCGGGCTGGTGCGACGGTCTCCCCGGTGTGCTGAGAGTTCCTTGATCGTTTCTCCCGCGCTTTTACCCCGAGCCTGATTCATGTCGACACGCATTTATACCATTTGGACATCGATCCCGAACGACTCTGGGAAGTCCCCACCGGACGCTCGCGTTTCTGGCACCACGTGTTGTGCTCGACAATCCACAGCTGCTGTACTTGGGTGGCTCTTAGGTGCTGGTGTGCAGGAAACAGAGCTGCCTATGTCGCCAATTTTTTGGGAGGACAGCGTCGAATGGTGCATCAAAATTGGCTCTTTTGTAGCGCTAATTTTACAAGAAAGAATTTTGTAATATGTGAACAGATTGGCCCATACGGGTCAAACACATTGATCGGTTCCGTCTTCGGAACAGACCCGCGTTCCCCATGCAAACGCTGAGTCGACTGACAATCGCACTCGCAGGGAAGGCCGTGATTCCACTACCCTCATGTCTCTCTTGCCCATCTTCCATACCTTCCGTCTCATTTGCCAGGACCAAAATCTTGCTTCTACCGCAGGAATCTTCGATCGAACATTTCGGGATGTGCGTGGGTGCTCGGGATGAGACCGATGCCGATTGCTCGGCGAATGGCCTTTGCCATTTTCCGCTGATTGACGGGTCGGAGGCCGGTCTCGCTGATGTGCTTGATGCGACCCATTGAGGTCATGTACTCCGACATGATGCTGAAGTTCTGTGGCGGCAGATATAGGTTAGTATTGCTATACGTCGAGATTGAGAACTTGACATCCTCCCGTTTGGTGATGCTGCTCTTCTCAAGGCAAAGCCCACACTCCACGCGAATACCATTCGACAAGATGTCGCTTCCTCAGAATTGTGCAGTCTCCGTCCGCGCACGTACCTTGTAATGCAACAATGGATCAATTCCCAACAGATCCAACACATCATACCGTGGGCGATCCTTCCTCCTCAGCCTCTTCCATTTGGCCATCTCAATCCCACTCAGATCATGCGGGGCATATACATCTCCCGCCCGCCATCGCCGCGTCACTTGCTTGTCCAGATCCTGGGACGTGTAACCTCTTTGTCCGTTTGCGATAGCCTCTAGACGCAAGGCCTCGCCTGAACCTTGGCCAGCGCTTACAAGCGATTTAGTCGCAATGTCAAGATGGGCAGCAGTGTAATTCTGTGCGGACTGAGCAATGATGGCAGCAGTAGCGGAGTAATTGCCGTCGTTGGAATCTAGCGAGGGCTCTGAGGTGGTCGCTTGGGAAGGGAAGGGTGATGTCGTCGCGCGGCTGTTGGGTTGTGGTCGCGAGAATAATGACCGCGGAGTGTTCCCTGACGAATTGCCTGAGAGAGTCTCTGCGTACCACTATTAGTCCTTGGCCTTATCTCTACCATGTTTGGACTTCCGCTTACGGAAAAGGGAGTTGCTGGCGGTCGGTCGTGGTTGTGAAGGTCCATCGGATGACGAGATATTGCGACGACAGATTTGTCGCAGCGCCGACGGCCGTAAAGAAAGTCGCCGAAACGACTGCTCTAATGTGAAAGACATTGAAGCTGAGGGTCCGGTGATGTTAAACAGATTGCACGTGAGGTCGTGAATGGATCTTTTCGATGGAGTCCTGTGCAGTTGGCAATGGACTTGCCGCGGAAGTGTGGCCAAAGCGTCCTCAAAGATCATGATTAGCTAATCCAAAAGTTTCCGACGCGCATCCGCGAAGCTACCATCATCACGATCAAGAGCCTCATCATCGAATTGACCTGCGAACGACACGATCTCCAACTACCACGAAATCGTTGCGTGAAAACTTATCAGCTGTTTGTCGATTATCATGGAGTGATCGCATGCCGGACAACAACATCCAACCAATTCCACGATGCCGTCGTCCCACCTGACTCGCGAGGTCTTCCGCCGACTCCTCGCCAATGAACCAATTTTCCATCGAGGATGTCTGCGACAACGCTCATACGCTACAGCTTCACATACACAGCCCTTAACACGTCGTCATGTCGTTCGAACACATCGCGCAACCACTACACTCCCACGAAGCCCTCATCGGCGAACGTTCATCAACTTCAATCTTTTTCCAGCGGTCAAAGCCGATCCTCGTCCAGCCCCTGTTGAGCCTGGACTGGCGACTATGAAACAACTGGCAAAGATGCAGCGACTTGGAGCCCGTCTACCACCCGTCTCAGAGGTCGCAAAAGCTTTTGAATCCTTCTTTGCCTATAAGAGCCAACAGGACCTTCCCCGGATCGAGGACACACAGGCACAGCTTGCTTTACAGAGTTTCGAATATTGCATATCTGCGAACGAAAGTTCTCATCTAGACGGTGGGGTTGGGGCAGAGCAGTCTGGGCTTCCCACATTCGGCACTGAGTTACTTTCCAGCGTTGCGAAAGTCCTGTGTAAAAGCGTGCATCGTTCCACCAGCACACATCTCGATTTGGCTCGGGTGTTATTGCGCTTTGCCCTCAAAGAGCAAATGGAGGATTCGGTCATTGTGAGAATCCTCACGGCGTACATAGAATTCCTGTGCCACTCAGGCCACTTCCAGGAGGCGCGGAACGTCATGCTCGAAGCAGAGGGTCACTTGAAGGTGGCACCGCCGAAAAATTCGTCTGTGGCTGCCGGTACTGAACCGAGGGTAGCGACACTGACCGCTACCCCCGCGGGCGATCATGAACACCTCTCCAACTCGAAAAAGAAGCCTACGCCAGTGAAAGGACTTGATCGGCTGTGGGCATTACTCGCGATGGCCACTGCTCGACACGGCCATGAGACAGATGTCTTAAATATACATATCATGTGTGACCAGCGAATCACCAAACCCGGACCAAAAGCCAGTCTCGCTCGAGCCATGCTAGCCTTTCACATTCGAACGAGTGACTTCCAGGGCATTGATAAGTGGTTCACTGAACTTCAAGTTCGGCTGGAACGACTTCGTGAGTGGCAGAATCGTGCCAATGCGGAGGGGAAAAGTATTGACTTCGCGCATGAGTTGCATCAAATCCTGCAGCGGTGCTTGCAGCACGGGAGATTGGATTTCGGGCATAGCATGGTCCAACGTGTCATGAATGACAGCCCATCAAAGGCGATTTGGGATGAAGTATTTATTTGGGCGGCTGGTTGCGGCAAAGGAGCTGATGAGATCAACCGTATGATAGGAGTCATGTTGCTCTCGAATGACAAGCTACCCAAAGACCAACAGCGGTGGCCTGACGTTAAGACAATCAATGGCCTGGTCGAGTATGCTGTCTCAAAGGACGATCCATACTTGGCAGAGCGGTTCATCAGCATAGGCAAGGAGCGCGGCATTCAACCAGATGCGAAGACATGCATCTTGCAGATGGAATATCGGATGCGCGTCAAAGATATTGACGGTGCTCTAATAGCCTACAAAAACTTGCAAGCCATGGATCTTGCGAATAATGCCGACATACCCGCCGTCAATAAACTCATTGTCGCCCTCTGCAACAGCAGTCGTCATGACTCTGAAACAGTCATGAACGTAGCAGCTGATCTCTCAGACCGCCGCGCCCGGTTTGAAGCTGATACAGTCTCTCATCTCGCTCTACTTCACTTCGACCGCGAAGAAGTAGAAGATGTTGAAGATCTTCTCAATGTTCACTCGGGGCACTTCTCCCTGTCGGAACGCGCCAAAATCCTAGCTGATCTAATCGCCTACATTGCTCGGCCAACAACTACGGTGCCACAAGCATGGGATGCTTACACTATTCTGCGACAATTTTTCGACGAAGCCGCAAGGCCAGAGCGGACAGAGGTCATGCTTTCGTTTCTCACCGATTCTCGACCTCGTCCAGATCTCGCTACAGATGTTTTCGTCACCATGCGACAACACACCCGCCGTGACACACGACCATCTGCAGACACTTACGTCGCGTTCTTCGTCGCTGCTGCCAAAATCAAAGACTTGAATAGCGTCGAGGTAGTCCACAATCAACTCAAACTGGACGCATCGATCGTACTTTCGACACGCATATGGAGCGCACTGATATTGGCGTACACTGCATGTGGTCAAGCTCGGATGGCATTGAGTTTCTGGGACTCGATCACAGCGTCAACCGAAGGGCCGACCTACAATTCCATTCATATCACATTTCGAGCCTGCGAGAATGCCCCATTCGGCGATCTTCGTGCCGTGAAGATCTGGGAGCGACTGCGCCGGTTGGGTCTCGAGGTAGATTCGCAGCTTTGGGCATCTTATGCTGCTGCCCTTGTGGGGAACGGAGATAACCAGCTAGGTTTCTCAGCCGTGGAGAAAGCCGTGCAAGATCGGGAGCTTGAGGTGGACTATTTCCTGCTCGCGAGCATGTTCGACAGCGGTCACGGCGACGTCAAGAAGTCCGAAATCGCGGAGTGGGCGAAATCGAAATTCCCCTGGCAATGGCAGCAGGTGGAGGAGATGGGCTTCGAAGAGGCCGAGAATGGATTCCTGTACGTCAAGGGCTTGAATCGTGAGATTGAGCCGTAATGCAGACGGTGCAACGGCGGAGTGTTCCTGTCGGATGAGATACCCCTTCATCACGCATGCTGCGTTTCTTGTATGTTCATGTCTTCATATTCGAAATGTATAGATACCATGTCATATAGACTTCATAGATGGTGCATTGACGCTGAGCGAAACATTGAAGCGTTTTCAGCTCTTCAGCAGTATGGTCCGTTTGGCTTCTCAACATGCTGTCAGACTGGTTCGATATTCTCAGGTTGTAGTGATGGTACACTTTAAGATTCTGCGAATTATTTCGAGATTCTTTCCAGCGATTCGAGTCCGCCTCGGCAATTGACGTCAGCTCTACGGGTTGTGTGCAGACGCGCGACCGCAGAACACCGCATTGGCGATCCATTGGCCCGAGAACATGTCCACCTCGGTCGTGTCAGATACGACTACAGTACCAAATTGACAAATATAATTCAAACATTCCCGAAGATCTTGAAGTAACACGATTCAAGTGCATCGACGTCATATTGAAGAAGCAAGCAGTATACGAGCCAATAGAACTGTCATTTGATCAGCATTGATTCCTCGTCCCAATGGCGCCTCATCCACAAGACACGGCCTACGCCGCCGCAACCTCCGACCCATCAAAGTTCTGGGCCTACCAAGCTCAACAAATATCATGGCACAAGACACCCAAGACGACACTAGAAAAGAACATCCATCATCTCCCGTCCGGAGCATCCCATGAGAGCTGGTCCTGGTTTCCCGACGGCGAGCTTAGCACTTCATACAACTGCACAACCCGCCACGTCGAAGCCGGCCATGGCGACAAAACCGCCATCATCTACGATAGCCCGGTGACTGGTGTCAAGGAGAAGATCACATACGCCCAGCTCGACGAAGAAGTCTCCATCCTCGCCGGTGCACTCCGCGCGGATGGCGTGAAGAAAGGCGATGTCGTGCTCGTGTACATGCCCATGATCCCAGCTGCATTGATCGGAATTCTTGCGACCGCTCGCCTAGGTGCGATCCACGCGGTCGTATTCGGTGGCTTCTCCGCTGCATCTCTGGCGCAAAGGATCGAGAGCAGCGAGGCCAAGGTCATTCTGACGGCAAGCTGTGGAATTGAGGGGAGTAAAGGTGCGTTGGACTACAAACCTTTGGTCAGAGGCGCGGTTGAGCAGAGTAGGCATAAACCTGAGAGGGTGATTGTCTGGCAGAGAGAGCAGTGTCGATGGTATCCGACTGATAGGTTGAGTGGCGAGAGGACGTGGCAGACATTTGTGAAGAGTGCGAGGGATAGGAATATTCGGGCGGAGAATGTGCCGGTGAAAAGTGGTGACGGGCTGTATATTATCTATACGTCGGTAAGATGGGCCGGAGAATACTTGATGAGAGTGCGATGCTAATTTTCTCTGCAGGGTACCACAGGACTACCGAAGGGTAAGAATTGCGTAGTTCAGTGGTGAAACTTAGAGAACTGATTCAATATCTTCTTCTAGGTGTGCTCCGACAAGCCGGCGGACATGCAGTCGGCCTCAACTTTACTGTCCGCTACATATTCGGCGTTCGCGGGCCTGGTGATATCATGTTCACAGCGAGCGACATTGGCTGGGTCGTCGGCCACAGCTATATCATATACGGCCCACTTCTCGCTGGCGCAACCACAGTCTTGTTCGAGGGTAAACCCGTAGGCACACCCAACGCAGACACCTTTTGGCGGATCTGTGAAGAGAACAAAGTCAATGCGCTTTTTACCGCGCCTACAGCCCTCCGAGCTATCCGAAAGGAGGATCCCGAAAACAAATTCTTCACGGCGAGGGGGAAACGCGGTGGTTTGAAGAGCCTCCGTGCCCTCTTCCTTGCAGGCGAGCGTAGTGAACCGAGCATCGTGAGCATGTACGCCTCTCTTCTCAAGCAATACGCCGGTCCGAATGCAACAGTGATTGACAATTGGTGGTCCTCTGAGAGTGGGTCGCCTATGACTGGCCTTGCACTACTGCCCAACGTTGCAACAAATTTCTCTGACCACACATACCACGTTCCACTGCCAATGAAACCCGGGTCTGCCGGGAAGGCAATTCCAGGATTCAATATATTGATCGTCGACGACGATGGCAAGCCGGTGTCAAGTCCTGGAACTATGGGCAACATCGTCCTATCCCTACCTCTTGCACCAACAGGTTTGACGACACTGTGGCGTGATGAGGAGCGCTTCTACAAAGGCTACCTGAAGCGGTTTGACGGTAAGTACATTGACACTGGCGACGCCGGCATGATCGACAGCGACGGCTACGTGCACGTCATGTCCCGTGCCGACGACATCATCAATGTCGCAGCACACCGGCTATCTACCGGTGCGATCGAGCAAGCCATCACGACCCATCCAGACGTCACCGAGGCGGCAGTAGTCGGCATACCAGACGAGCTCAAGGGCCACGTCCCATTTGCATTCATCGGACTGCGAAACAGCTCCTCGTCGCCTTCATCACCAACTCCCGAAGCCTACGACAACCTCCTCAAATCCCTCAATGTTCTCTTGAGGAAGCATATCGGCCCCATCGCGAATCTGGCAGGCTTCATCTCCACGCCAGGCACCATCCCCAAGACCCGCTCAGGCAAGACGCTGCGTAGGTGTCTCAAGGAGATTCTCGAGAACGCCGTGCTGCATGGTGAGTTTGATAAGGAGGTTACATATCCGGCTACGATTGAGGATGCGACTGTCCTGGTGCGCGCTAGAGCGGCTGCGAAGGATTATTTCTTGGAAGGTGCAGGGAAGAAATTATTGGTAGTGGGAGAGAAGGCCAAATTGTAGGAGAGACCTGCGCGTGGTCATATTAATCATTTCCCAGGCCTACTGCTACTGTAATTATTCTTGCCGCCTTTTTTTGTAAATGCATTGTCGCCGGCGCAGAACCGAACCATTGGCTCCCAGATCGGTCTCATAGAGAAAATTGGTCTGGATGCACGCCTGTGTATTTCTCCGGACGAAGGAATGAAGTCAGTGCGGCGTGTATTCCTGCAGCAACCTTGGAATAATAAGCAGCTGCAGCGTGGCAGTGCACGTGCGGGAGGGAATGAAATGCTGTAACGGTGCGGAGGATCCTCGCCCGATAGATCTTCGCGTGAGACAACTTGGGCATGATCTGCGCGTGTAATGTGCGCTCTATTTCATTCGCGAGGACAGGTCCGCCCTGAAGCCCTTCTGAATGGAAATCTGCAGGTGCCTCCAAGTGATTCGGTTGTTGCAGGTGTATACTGTAGTGGCGACCGTGGTCATCGGCAGCTAATGATTCGGGTGGTCTTACATATAAGTACTGCATACTTACACGTTTCCCGATGCGTCAATTCTCACGATGGATTGACTTTGGCCCCCAAACCCCTCCCACCTTCCGAGTGTTGGTGGCGTTGCGACAACATCTGCACAATCGATTGGTACGGTCATCACAACCTTGCCTCTTACGTGATAGCCCTGGAGCCGTTCAAATCATCAACAGAGACTTCCAAGGTTGTAAGTGACCTTGAAATGTTGGTGGCTGCGCTTCGGGTCACGGCGGCTTCCTTCCAGCCAACCTTATCGTACTTACTGTACTTCAACGTCGCGAGAGACACGGCGTGCGAAAAATGGGCCACCCGCAACGAGCAATTAGCCTTTGCGCGGACCACTCTGTCTTACCAACAATCGACAAGACCTGGTACAATGGACTTATTCCTAGGCACTCAAGGCACTCCAGGCCACACTTGACCAATCCGCGGCATCGAATACCCAAGGATAACCAACACAACATGCCGCTTGTCGCTGGACCGAAAAGCGACCAGACTGACTGCAGCACTACAGCACATACCAAAGATGACTAGACTTTATTCGAACATTTTGTCTACCTAGGTACTCTCTGGATAAATCCGGCCCATATGCCCTTGTCAGTACTGCCAGAATGAGATGAGTATATGATTGGTGCACCAGCACTTTCTACGCCACGACCACCCATGAGTTCTCGCATCTTGGGATATCACCAAGTGGGCATCTTTCCAAGACTCTGAACAAACAGCTTGGGACTGGTCCTTGTTGCATGAAGGTGAAGAAAATCAATATGGAGCACAAGACAGCCGATCATCACTTCCTTCCACGCAGCAGCGACTGTGAGAAAAGCGACAACAACACCGACGATCACAGCCGGAGCGGCACTACAGCAAGCCATGTAACTCCTCTCTCCAAGCCGGAGGTTCATGAGAACCTTGCCGATGCCTTGACAAGTCCCAGAGACCACGGCGCAAAATCCCGGACAGTCTTAGATCTCGATGTGGATCCTGTTCGGCTTCGACGGCTTCAGTGGAAGATCGATCTTCATATCCTACCCTTCTTAATGTTCGGGCTGTTATTGAACTTCATGGATAAGGCTCTATACAATGTGAGTGCGGCCCACTAGTCTTCAAAGCCTGTGAAGTTCTATGTGCCAGATGAAGTTGTATGCTGATATTGGGTTTTCCTGCTCCAGTACGCCCAAGTCATGGGATTCATTGCAGATCTGCATTTGAAGGGCAATGATATATCCAATGCTGCTTCAGCGTTCTACCTCGCAGTGCTCGTTGCCGTCATTCCCACTGGTTCGTCGTGTCCATCTCCAACATAGACAATCGCGTAGCTAACCATGTTTTATAGTGTACTGTCTGCAGCGGTTTCCCACTGCCGTTTGGCTTGCGTTGTCTCTATTCTGTAAGTCCTTGACTCTCGTCAAAATCATGACCGAGAATCCACCGTCCTGACATATCATCGCCAGGTTGGGGCATTTGCGTCGCGTGTCATGCCGCAATACAGGATTATACCGGCCTTGTGGTCGTTCGCGTACTCAGCGGGATCTCCGAAGCGGCCGTCCCATCATGCTTGATGCTCTTGACTGGTCAGTTTTACACTCGCAAGGAGCAGCCAGTCCGCTTCTCGATCTGGTATTGTGGGATGGGATTGGGACAGATATTCGGCGGTCTCATCTCCTGGGGCTCACAACACATTCCGGCGGATTCACCTCTTGCTAGTTGGCGCATCATGTAAGTGCTCGCGTGCCGGGGATCGATCGAATGAGTAGTTGAGACTAATCTTACCGTGACACAGGTTTCTCGCAGTCGGCATCTTTACCTCGCTTATCGGCGTAGCTGTCTTTTTCCTGGTCCCCTCCACTCCGATGCAAGCCTGGTTCCTCGGCGAAGATGAGAAAATACTCTTGCTGCTCCACATCCGCGAGAATCAAACGCCTATCAGCGAGACCGACACACAATTCCAACCCCGGCAGATCCTCGAAGCCCTCACCGATCTTCACGTATGGCTACCTTGGCTCGTGGTAGTCCTCCACTTATCAGGCGCCGCCACCATCAGCACTTTCTCCAGCATGTTAATCCGCGGGTTCGGCTTCGATGCCAAGACTGCCACCCTTCTCAACATGCCCTCTGGTCTGGTCAATATGATATCAACCCTCTTCTCCGGCATGGGAGCAACTCTCTTCGGCCAACGATGGGCATGGGCTACTTTCGCCTCGGTCGTCAGCATCCTTGGTGCAAGTCTACTCGCATTCCTCCCTCATTCGAACCAAGCGGGCCTCGTAGCATCCATTTATCTCGTCAATGCCATTTCCGGCGCAACGCCGCTCGTCATGCAATGGCTCGTGGGAAATACCGCGGGGCACACCAAGCGCGCTTTCACCAGCGCCTCGTTGAGCGCAGCGTTTGCATTGGGCAGTTTCATCGGCCCGCAGACGTTCCGTGCTGCGGATGCGCCAGGATATCAACCTGCAAAGGTTGCATCGGTGGTACTTTGGTCCGTTGCAACTGTGCTGGTCATTCTTTTGATGATATGTTGCCGCACGGTGAACGCAATACGCGATCGTAAGGCAGAGGGCAACGATGCGGAACGTACGCCGCAGGCGGAAAACGACTTCGTACGCCTGACGGATAAACAAAATCCGAATTTTAGATATCAATACTAGAGTTGTCCAGAAAAGAATAATAGGTCTCGAAGCCTCAGTGGCACTGCAACGATTTTGAACACGCTTCACATATACCTTCCTCATGCAAAGACTGGCTGAAGCTTCCCTGACAATCTGTGCGCCACTCTCTCCGGTAGTTCCGCCTCATACACGATCCGACACCACTCGGCCACCAAACCCCTCGTCTTCGCGGGATCAATAATCTCCTCGATGCCAAAATGATTCGCCGTTCTCACAGGGTTCATCAGTCGCCGATACATAGCGTCCAATTCCCTATACCTCTCCTTCCTCGCCTCCAGTCCCTTTTCCTTCTCAATCTTCCTCAACTCCGCCGAATGACCGACCTCAATTCCACCATCCAGCGGCAGAGATCCCCACTCTCCGCTCGGCCAGCCCACGCGCATATGCGGGTCGCGCGAATCCACCATCATCCCGCCCGCCACGCCATAGCATTTCCTTACAATGACGCTGAAGATCGGCACCGTCGTGGTGTAGTACGTCTTGGTCAACTCCACGCCCCAGCGCATCGTCGCCGTACGCTCCGCGACCGTCCCGACCGCATACCCTGGGACATCGACGAATTGCAGAATCGGTAGGTTGAAAATGTCGCAGAACTTCAAATGCCGTGTGAGTTTCTGTGCGCCTGCGGCATCGAGCGCGCCGGACGCGACTTCGGCGTTGTTGGCGATGATTCCTATCGGTCGGCCGCCGAGGCGCGCGAGGCCGACTATCGCGGTGCGGCCCCAGAGGGCGCCGATCTCGAAGAAGGAGGAGGTGTCGACGACGGTGGTGATGATTTTGCGCGCATCGTATGTGCGTTCGCGTTTTCGCGGGACGATGGATCGGAGCTCCGGGGCGTCTCTGGTCATGGGATCTGAAGAATCCACGACCGGCGGGACCAACATGCCTGAATTTGGCAGGTATGCTAGGACGGTGCGGATCTGCGCGAAACAGTCCTCCTCGGTCGCAGCGAGGTTGTCGATCGTGCCGTTTGTGCAGTGCATTCCCGGTCCACCGAGATCTGTGAGCGAGAGCCCTTCCTCGAAGGTGGCGCCCGCCACGACGGAAGGTCCGGCGTTGATCAAGGCGCCGACGTCTGCGGCCATAACGGAGAAATGACATGAGACCACCCGTGCTGCGCCGAGACCAATGGCCGGGCCCACGACGGCACCGAGATTCGGAATTCCCATGTTGAGCTGCTTCGCGACGACATCGAAGCCGGTCAAGGGCGGAACATATGAGTAGCCCCATTTCTCAATCGAAGTGACCGATCCACCGCCGGAGGAGCCATCGGTAAGTTTAATCATAGGCAGTCTCAATTGCAATGCGAGCTTTTCGGTATAGAGCGTCTTCGCCATGAGATGGCCGTCCTGATGTCCCGCACGAATGGAAAAGTCGTCCGCGGTGAAGAGGATCCGACGACCATTGAGCTTGCCGTAACCTTGCACATTATTATGTGGGAGGAAGGATTCCGGCTCCTCGCGCTCCTCGTTGGATCCTGGTGTCGAAGTCGGAAGTTGCTTCCAGCCGACGGTCCCTGTGGTGCTGCCGATCTCCTGGAAACTGCCCGGGTCGAGGAGTTTGGCGATGCGTTCGCGTACCCAGAGCTTGCCGGCTTGTTTTTGTCGTATATAACCTGTCCGGGAGAGGTCGGGTGTATTGGCTATCGATCGTAATTTTTCAATGTGACCTCGGATATCGCTGTAGTCTGCTGGCAAGTCGTTGGCTTTGGCTTTCCTTCTTCGCTTCCCATCTGGATTTGATGTGTTTGATCCGGGCGCTGATGCTGATATGTGAGACGATACTTGATCGACGCGAGCCGTTGCGACGGCAGTCGCACTCCGCCTAGCACCTATTTCGTCGTTGCCCATCTTGCCTAAAAGATCAAGAATTTATCACACTATCTAGGTATCTGAATATGTGCACAAAAGCCCGAATAATGGTGTTCTCGAAACGACGACTTCTTAGTCAAGGTGTACTCGCCTCGGAGTGTACCTCGGTACTTGTGTGTCAATGCGTAGGGCCAAAGCACATCAAGCGATTCTCGCTTCTCGCGGCTGATGCGCGACTTCAATTGTTCTTACCCAAACCCTAACCCTGGGTTCTTTCTATAGTAGGTATGTCACAATGGTTTCGACTCTTCTCCAATAAGTTTCTATCATGGCCTTCATCACACCGATCGACTCTGGACTCGAAGACTTCAGAGCATCAAACTGACCATGTTAAACGAAGAATGCAATGTTGCATAGCAACGTGGACAGGGTGAACGTCGACACCGGATCTATCAGGCGGACTGATTACCAACTACAATGCCGCTCACTTTTGCCGACGGGACGACCAGCTACAGAACATTTCGGACGAGCTTTGGGCGGAAGGATTTCAAGCGAAATTGTATTCATTATGCTCAAGTAGAACTCATCACATTCGTGCGACCATCCAGATTGCCAAAGTGAAAGTCGAATCAATCAAAACACATAAAATTTCAATACGATCCATGTTCGCCGGAACCATCCAAACAATACGCTTCGAAAAATATCAAACAATCGAAAGTAAGAAAGCTCAATCATCGACAAGCCTCACACATCCTCCACTTCTTTCAACGTCGGAAGATCACCGCCTTACGAAATACTCCTCCTCTGCTCCACTCCCTGAAGGTAAATCTGTCCCAAGTCCACTATCGCTGGGAGGAGCATACTTCACGAGACCACCTTCCGTGAACCTTGGGGGAGGCTGCAAATCACTGTTCGTCAAGCCAAAATCCCTCTGCTCGTGTGTCGTGGTCGTGCCGACGGTGCACTTGGCTGAACTGCTTGTGCTAGGCTGTCGATCGAGGTCTGCTTGCGAAAGGTAACTGCCCGTGCCACGACTGTCATAGGTATCGTAGCTGGTGCGACGCTCCGAGTCACCATGGTGACGGGAATCATCGTCCTCGTCGACGTAGTCGTCATCGTGGGTCTCGCGATCGTTGTCGTCGTAGTCTTCGGAGATGTAGGATCCGGTCGCGTAGGTCATGCTGTCGTGAGTGACGTCGGTTCCGGCGACACTGTGGCGGGAGCGGTGGTGTGATTCGTGGTTGTCGGCAAGATTGTTCTCGGTGCGGACCTCGGAGTAATCATCTTCTTCGCCCTCGGACAGGGTCCCATCCTCGTTCTCCTTGTTCAAAACGGAAGAGGTGATGCTGACGTTTCTCTTGCTGTTGGGGGCCCATGAATGCTTGCGGTTGAAGCTTGCAGTCTTGACAGAGTGGCTACGCTTCACATTCGCCGTGCTTCCATTACCGCTGATAGTGACAAGGCTAGGCTTACCGTAAGGAGCAGCGGGCGGTGGGCTGTTGTGGCTAATCTGGTTAAGTGACACGATCCGTCTCTCCGTAGTGTTCGCCACGCCGCCATTACGCTGTGCTGTTGGGCGAGCCGACTTCATGGCAAGGTTGTGACCATTCTTGAGGATGCTGGGCACGGATGAAGTGACGGTGTGCGCTGACATCGCGGAGCCATCACTGGGAATGCGCAGATCGCGACCTTGTGACTTTTTCTTCGGCGAGGGGGGCTTGGTCGTACTCTTTGCTAGAAGCAGCATGCGAGACTGGTTCATAACACCTTCAAGCATTCGGCGCTCGATGGCGTGAGCTTTGGCATCCATCTCGTGCAGTTCGTCACGGCGAATATTAAGAGCCGTCTCCATAGAGGAGACATCTGCGTTGAGTCGCGATTTCTGGGCAGTGAGAGCTTCTTTCTCAGCCCTGAGAGCTTCGACTGCATGTTGCAAAGACTCCTTCTCCTCGTTCAGCACAGTGATATCGGCCTCGAGCTGATCCTTCCTCTCAAGACGACGCTCGAGGATAAGACCAAGCTCCTCAGCCTCTTTCTGTTTGCTTTCGTGATCGATGGTGATTTGCTTGTTCTGTGCGGCGACGAATGCGGAGACCTCTGCGGCTGTGGCCATGACCTTTTCGTGAATCTCGTCTAATCGTTGGATCTGTGTTGTGCGCTTTGCAGTCTCTTCAACGTGACCCATGAGTTGATCAAGCTTGGTGTGAACGGCACTGTCGTCGTATTCGACGCTACGTGGAATCTCGATCGGAGGTGGCATGAGAGCGGGAAGTGTTGTTCTCAGCTCCTCCTGTTGACTCTTCAAACCTTCAGTATGCAAACGTGATTCCTCGAAACCGGTCTTCAATGCCTCTTGGAGATCTTTGACGGCACGAACATGCTCTTCTGTGGTCTCCGACGACTTCTGAGAGTGTGCGTAGTGTTGGGTGATCAGCGCGCGGACTTCTTCAAGCGTGACCATGAAGCGAGGGTGGTTCTCAGTGAGGTCACCCTGTACATTGTCTACGGCAGCCATGAGCTTTGCGAGTTGGTCGTGTGTCATGGAATTCTCCCCTCGGAGATGTTCTGCAGTCTCTTGCAGAGTCTGATGAGTCTGTTCGGCTTGCGCGAACACGGTCTTGGACTCTTCTGCCATCTTCTCGACAGTCGCTGGTAGGTCGCCCATGAATGCACTCAGAGTGGTTCCTAAAGTGTCAATGGACAGCTTGAGGTCGTCGGCCATGATCTTTGTGACGTTCATCAGCTGCTCTTGTTCTGCGGCCTTGTCTTCCATGACCTTGGCCTTCTCCTCAGCAGCACGTTGAGCTTCGTCGTATTTCGCCAGGAGGCCATCGAACAGCCCGTCAAGCTTTGAGGACAATTGAGACACCACTTCTTCCTTGTGCTTAGTCTGAACTTCAAAAGCCGACTCAGCAATCTGTGCATTATCAGTCTTGATGGTTTCCAGTGAGCTGTGACTGCGCTCGAATTCGTCCCGGATTCTGTCAAGAATTTCCTTGACATCAGTGATGACTTGATCGTTGCTGGTATTCGCTTCGATGGACTTCATTGCGACACCAAGAGTATTGATGCCAACCTCACCGTCCGCCAGCTTCTCAAGCAATTCAGCCTTGATCAGGTCCATAGTGTCTTTCATGGCTCCAATCTGCAATAGAGTATCGTCGTACTCTCGCTTGCGATCGTCGAAGGCCTTTGCGGTGACAGCAACGTCCATCTCGTAGCTATCTCGAAGCTTGTCGTGGCTCTCCCGGAAGTCGGCCAACATGAGAATCATGCGATCCATATCGGCTTTGGAGGGCGCGTTGTCGCGATCAGGGTTGGATATCTCGGCTATCATGGACTTGATCTCAATAATCAGAACACCCAACACATCCAGATCAGCCTTTGTCATTGTCTCGGGCTTCTCAGCATCGGACGCTTGTGTACCCAGGGCGGCCTTGACATCCTCAATTGCGGCTTTGAGATCTTGCGCGAGAAGTTCCACGACAGCGACGTCAGTCTTCGAAGCGGTGGAGCTTTCGATCTTCTCGGTCAGAGATTCAATGGCATCGTTGGTGATTTTGACGACGGCTTGAATCTCATCGACATGGTCTCGGTTGATGCCATCGGCGGCTGGATCCTTTGCAGCTAATTCATCGAGCTGTGCTTTGGTATTACGGAGAAGGGTTTCGATCGCATCAGTGTCCTCCTTCCGTGCCACACCCTCGGGAGCTGGTTCAGCAGCACGAGCACCGGAAGTTGCAACGCTGTCCTGCAAGTCCTTGATCATGAGGGAAATGGAGTTGAGGTCATCCTTAACACTCGCTTCTGATGCGCCGGCAGCAGCTGGTTGAGATTCTTGCATGTCTTGGATAGTGTGGTCCATGGCTTCGATTTTGATTTGCAGCTGGGCGAGTAAAACTTCGACTTTCTCGATGCCAGCTTGCTTGATGCTATCACCGCCTGCGGGAGGTGCTCCATGAGGAACCTCGCGAGTCCCGGCCACATCTGTGGACTCGGCAAGCAGGATCATTCCTCCTGGACCAGTCGCCGTCGAGGGTCGGGATCGGACTTCCGACAGCAACAGCTTAGCCACCCCTGCACGAAGATCAGAAAGACCTTCCTTCAGGGTGTCTAGAATTTGGTAGTTGATAGTCATGTCCATTGGCTTCTCCAACTTGGTAATGTCGCTGCGCAAACCCTCAAGTCCATCATGGAGAGTATCGAGTACCTCGCGCTGGTGATTCATGGCAGTCTCAGGGTTATCGAGTTTCTTCTCGAGGTGTGAACGCAGGTCATCGAGGCCTAGTCGAACGGCATCGAGTACCTCCTCGTTCGATCCAGCGAGGAAAGCTCCGCTGGCGAGTGAACTCCGAAGATTGACAAACTCGCCTCTTATGGCCTCGAGCTGCTCATTGCTGATGCCACCCTGACCCTGTGTCGCTGCAGTGTCTTTCATATCGCGGATGCTTGCATGAATGGCGTCCAAGGCTTCCCGGTGGTCACCAGAATTCTGACCGGGAACCAATGCGGACCCAAGTGATTCGCTGAAGCGCTCCAATTCCTCCTTGAGAGCACCGATCATGTTCGCAGACGCATCGCTTTGGTCTGCAGCAATTTGGCTGCGAAGCTCGTCCAGGGAAGTCTTCACGCCACCCACAATTGCGCCTGAATCGGAATCGCTGAGCATGCTGTGAATGCTCTCCTTCAGCTCGGCAAGCTCCTGCTGGATAGTCCCTACAATTTCGCTGGAGGCGCCGCCACCATACAGAGACCCGACCTCGCTGCCGTTGAGCTTGCTGTGAAGTGCACCAATGCTGTCCTGAATGGTTTCGAGGAGTTCATTCTTGTCTGAAGCATGTGCTTGGAGGATGATTCCCTTGAGCTCCTCAAATTCGTGTCGCATCGCATCATTTAATTCCTCGAGTGACGGATCATCTATGCTGCGATCGACGCTTCGAGAATCAGTGTGCCCTTTGATTGCGTCGACACCGCTTGTGATTGCGTGTAGAATGTCGGCGACATGATCTGGGTGTGCGCCTTCGAATCCACGAGAAGTTGAGCGATCATTGTCGGCGACTGCATTGTGGAGCTGCTCAAACTCTGACTTGATATACTCCAGCATCTCAGCGTTTCCGTCCTGAGCGGGACCTTGCAGACAATAACCTTGAACGTCCACACGAAGCTGTTCGAGACCGTGCTTCAGACTGTCGACAATCTCATCGCGGCCAGTAACATCTTGAGCACGATCGACGTAAGTCTCGATCTCAGCCCGCAAACTCTCGAGGCCGTCCTTGACCGCATCCAAGACCTGCTCGGTGTCACGGCCATTGGCGGCAGAGTATTGTTTAAATTCAACACGCATGCCGTCGACCAATTCCTGGAGCTGTTGAAGGACTTGTTCGCCAAAGCTGTTGAAGGGAATGGTAGTCCCGTCAAGACTTGCTTTCACCGCATCGAACAAGTCGTCTCGTGAAATTTCGATCTCACGTGGGGGAGGCTGGGGTTGATTAGTGAGGCCTTCTCGGATAGCTTCAAGAACAGCTGCGTGCATCGCCTCATGGTCGACATGAGCGCTTGAGGGTTGGAATTCGGTCAGCGCGGAACGGACGTTGTCGAGAAGCTCCTCTCGCAATTGATTGATTTGATCAGCAGGAACCGGAGCCTGGAAATCCTTCAATGCCTCCTGCATGACTTCATAAATCTCTCCTTTGTCAATTCCGCCATTTGCCACAGATTCAGCGCGCTCGTTCTGATATCCTTCAAGACCTTCCTTAAGTACAGCAAGCACCTCGTCACGTTCAAGTCCAAATTGTTGAAGCTCGATGTTCGGCTCAAAGTCCTTGAGGCCTTCCTTGACTGCGTCCAGTACTGCTTGGCGGTCGAACCCGTCGCGTTCGTCTTTCTCGTCGCGTTGAGAATCCATAGCTCGGCTGTGTTCTACGAGAGCGTGCTGCACTGCAGATAGGATTTCGTCGCCATTGGGTCCAGATCGGATCGTCGACAATTGTCGGAAGGTGTCGTCGTCCTGCTGCGCCTTTTGCTGGAGCATTTGTGATAGGTGTGCTTTGAGATCCGTGATGCCTTCTTCTACTATTTGATGCACCTCTTCTGCGGTTTGCGAGTTCTGGCCCTCTGCGATTGATCTGTCAAGATCCTTGTTGAGGTGCTGCTCTAGCAGGCGGTCCAATTTCTGTCCCAAGTCTCTGCCTGTGCCGAGAACCTCGCCACGCATGTCGCGAACAAGGCCCTTTACTTCTGAAGTCATGCCTCCTGCATTTGTAACGGAGTCTTTGATACGCTGAAGTAGTTTCATGACATCGTCGCCCACCATCGGATTCGGTGAACCTGGATTTGCAAACCCTCCCTTGCTGGCGTCTCTTGGAGAATCGAAAATTCCATCTCCTGGAGATCGAACATGAATCAAAGCTTGTGCATGTGACTCGGATTTGTCTTTGATGAAATCTGCTAGTTGTTCGACTTTCCTGGCAGCCTCAACATTTTCCTCACGACTCTTCTCCAACAACTCGGCTAGATTTGTCAGAAGTCGCTCTTGACCCTCCTTGGTCACCATCTCGCGGATAATCTTCTCGAGCATGGCCACGCTGGCTGCGCCTTCGACAGAGTACGGCGAAGGAGAACCACATCTGGGCTCGTCCATAAACCCGTGCGCACTCTGGGATCTCGGCATAGAGAAGCCCTTCGCGGTGCTGTCCGGCGAGCTGAAGACCTTGCTGTCTAGTACGCTTCCTCCGTAAGCGCTGGCTCGTCTCGCCGTCGGAAGTACTGGAGGAGGCCCGAGCAGGACTTGGGTCGTGTTCACTGAGGTTGCGAGCTCACGCAGACTCTTTCGAATATCTTCGTCGCGGGCGTTAGTAGCTTCCTTGAGACTAATGAGATCCGTTGCGTTGTCCTTGCTGCGCCTGCTCAGCTGCGCCATCTCTTTTTGGAGATTGGTTGCGATACTTGTGAGGTTTAGTAGTTGACTGGAAAAGTCATATGTGTTGTGTGCCCGAGGCGTTGTAGATGCACTGGACGGTCCATTTGTGACATCGTGCAGAGGCAGCTCTGGTACTTGCATAGTCTGTAGGGCAAGCATAGTCGCCGATGGTGGTGTGTTCTCCCCCAAAATCGCGCGCGGACCCGATTTCACTGATTGCCGAAGTGCTGCTGCCTCTTTCAATACATCTCTTGAGCTGGGTGTTGGAGTTGTCGCCCGCTCTGGAGTAGTGGAAAGATCTTCCGCGCTTGCATGTCGGCCGTACGTCAAAAAACTTGTTCGTGAACTTGGGCGCTCGGGCGAGCGCTCAGGAGATCTGTTGTTGTCAAGATAACTCCGTAGATCCTTCACGCTGCCAGTCTGTAGCGACTGCATTCGCTTGTGATGTGCTCCTTTAATCAGAGAGCGCTCTGGTGAGGCCTGCGGTGTCTGATTGGTAGTATATGCAGAGATTGGTGCGCTTTCGCGAGCCTTTTCGACAAACTGCCTAGCAGCTGCGGCAATACCTGCAGACGTGTTGGGCTTGACTGTCGGGCTTCCATTTGTGCTGGGATTCAGAGGAAGTGGCGGCGGCGCGCGATCGGGGTCGGAGCTGTCCCACCTGTAGCGATAGTCAGTCGTGATCATTGCGCGTAGCTTGCGATATCGCGATGAGGATTTCCTACATTGGCACACTTGACCTCCCGAGTTCTGATCCTGTCAAGGGTTTGTGCGGAGCGTCATGACCGACAGAGCTCGCTCGAGATCGCGTCGCCATCTGAAGTTGTCGCTGCTGGGTCGCTTGATGTACCGTCGTTGTTGTTGCGCTACTAGGGTGCCTCAGTGGGAGTCCAGTCCCTCGGTAAATAGCATATTAAACTGATGAGAATGTCTCTGCAGAAGTGTATGCAACGCGAGTGTTGTGTTGTACGATAGTGGTTATAGAAGCACGAACGATTGAAAGTGAGCGTTAAACGTTGTCGTACCAGGACAATTTCCGTGTGTATATACACCGACCGACAAGCTTCGCAGCTTCCCCATGATGACGGACCCGCGGTGTAAACAAAACAACAAATCTAGTGCGGCAGCCCAACCGGGCCATCCCGCAGCGCTTGCCGCCCGCAGGGACGAGTTAAAACGTTCCTGCTGGCATATCGTCATAGGGACTGTGCGGAGAAGTCTCGACTTGCCATGTAACAATCTCATTGAGCACCTGCAGGATACGTAAACACCTGTTGTCTTTGCCAAAAAGTTGTTGCTTCAAGCCTTGGAAGGTTAATAATAATTATTGTCGACGTAAGATTAGCAGGCTTGTATGAAGCATGAGTCGCGCCAAACCTGTTTCCAGAGTCTTCGCAAAGGCCAGAGGGCAGGAATGTCCGTAAAGAATGACAGACATTGTCTCTCCCCTCCAAGGCGTGATGATAGTCCAGTACCTTAGTTACAGTTGGGCATGTTGATGGTGATTTTGGTTTACCGTACGGCTGATTGATACCCAGGTACATAGATAGGTATAATTAATTTATTCTTTGTCGCGCCGGCATGCTTTGGAGCCCTGCCGAAGGTTGGGTATTGTACGGAAGACTTCTCTATGCATGCCCGAGTCGATTTCGAGGTCCACCACCGATCACGTGCTCGAGTCGAAAATGCCAAGGCCCACTAAGGGCACTTCTCAGAATTGCGACCCTCACATACTGTAGGCAGATTGAGTGACGCGAGAAAGGATATCGACATCCACACATTTTTGTCACCAACGCAGAGATGAAGTGTAAGTAAAGCAATATTAACATTGCGCATTCAAAATACTGACAGTTGCATAGTCCTCAAGGTCGGCCGAGTGGTACGCGCATGGCAACGAGAATTCTAGGATCCCATGGCACCGAAATACTAATAGACGCAGGCCATCATCTCCCGTGGACGATACGCCGGAAAGAAGGTCGTGATCGTTCAACCCCAGGACAACGGCAGCAAGAAGCACCCGTTTCCCCACGCTCTCGTCGCCGGTATCGAGCGGTACCCTCAACAAATCACCCGCCGCATGGGCAAGGCCCGCGCAACAAAGCGCAGCAAGGTCAAGCCTTTCATCAAGGTCGTGAACTACAACCACTTGATGCCTACCCGCTACACATTGGAACTCGAGGGACTGAAGGGTGTTGTAACGAATGAGACATTCACTGAGGTCACTCAGCGTGAGGAGGCAAAGAAGACTGTCAAGAAGGCGCTGGAGGAGAGATATTCGAGCGGAAAGAACCGATGGTTCTTCACTCCTTTACGTGAGTTCAGATGGCGGGAGTGGGATATGAGTGCGACCATGAGGAGACACTGACGATTGTTTACAGGATTCTAGATGCATTATTTCGACGGATGGGTGTCATGGGTGTGTGCATTCAGGCGTTTTGAGAATCTTCCTATCCGCTGTTGATGCTAGCGAAGAAAGGTCCCGGCAGCGGCGTAAATATTGCCTCGAAAGAAAATTCGCAAAAGCTAACAACTGGGCCATTCATTACTCGTGTCGTGTGACAGCTCCGTGGACTGCGGGCAGATGGTGACTTCTCGGATACTGGACCTCGACTCTACTCACTCAATCATGCGGCACTGCTTCCGAATCACGTTCATTGTCCTACTGAGGACCTTGCCCACGTTCACAACATCAGTCGCGCCACCATAGCCAAGGATTACATGTTCATTCAGAACACAGAGGGAACCGCTGCTCGGAAATGACGTGCGATGGGAGGACAAGGCCTGATCAATCAGAACGACAAAATAGTTGTGGCTCAAACGAAGCAGTCGGATCGTCACATAAGAAGGACCCGACGGCACCTATCCATTTATTACACAATGAGAGTCTCATGTAGTTCAACTCATGCCTCTCAGTCATCCAGCGAGAAGTCGAATTGCTTGAAAGCTGCCTTGAACGCGTTCGCATCCGCATCCTCTTCCGCCTTCGTCTGCGCACAATCCCTCCAGTTTGTCCTCTCCTCCAGCCCCAACAGCTTGCCCATGACCCGTCGCCCGAATTGCAAATCGAAGCGAAAGCTTTGATCAAGAGGTAGGACTATCCCCCTCTGCATATCCTCCGTCCAGATCATGACATGAAAGTAATCTCCTTCCATGGCGCGTGCCTTCTCTGACGCCGATTTGACGAATTTGGGATAGTCGAGGTTCTCCGCTTCGACTTCGAATCCAGCTTCCACGAGCCCTCGCACGATGAAATCGGTTGTCACAGGAAGGAATTGCCAGTGTAAATGTACACCACCGGCGCGGCTGATTTCCCACGTGACGGCTCCTAGTTTCGCCTTGCCGTTTTGGTCTTCACCTCTTGATTTCGCCGCGACCATCTGATGTAGCGCATCGCGATACTTTTGCATCTCAAGCAAACTAGCTGCGCGAGCGTTGTCTGCCTCGGGAATCGCAGCCATGGTCGGTGCGTGGTTGAGTGGAATGATCAGAATATTGCTGGGGAAGTCCAGGTGAGGTGCAAAGGTCTGCGCAGTGCTCAAGGGTCCTTTGGCTGTGGCAAGGTAGACATCGGTGCCCAAGGAGGCGATCATGTGCGTCTCGCAATTGGGATTGGAGAGACAGAAGTAGCATTGCTGCGGCAGAGGAGGCGGCAGCTTGCGACGTTTGTTATTACCACCCCGACGATTGTGGTGGTAGTTGTCATTGGAGGCAGATGCGCCATTGGAAAACCGATGATGGTCGAAACTCTCTTGTTGGTCTGGGAGCTTGCGCTTCTTCGCGGTCAACGGCGATGGTGTGGTTCCCATCGGTGCAGTGTCCGGAGGCGCTACACTGGGTTCGAGCGCAAAGGCGTATATCCATTTTTGTTTGTCTGCATTTCCGAATGGCGCAAGACTTAGGAAGCGGGTGATGTGTCGTGGCGCTGGACCTTCATGCTGGAATGGCTCTCGCTCAAAGAAGGACTCTGAAGTGGAGAAATGGTATCGAGGTTTCAAGCTGGAGCAGAGATTTCCAATGCTCTCCACGGCAGATGGCGGAGCATTTACTTTATCTTTTGCGATAGCAGAACCATGCGTGATGTCTTTGGGCCAGTCGCTTGTGACAAGTATGTCGGCATTCTTGAAGTCTGCGGCGCTTTCTACGTCTTTATCACGATATGAAGCGGTATAGTCGTCCATCAACTCATCGCCAGCCGGTGTGGATTTGCCGCCTATGGCGACAATCTTAATGCCCTGGGATGTCTTGAAGGAGACCTTCCGGCCTAGGATTGATAAATTTGAGCATAGCTCACCACCGGTTGCTATCAATCGTTCAACAACTGATGTAGGCAGCGCTGTGTGGCCCAAGGCAAAGTAAGTCGTCAAAGGCACATCCGTCTGCCCATCGAGGAGCTTCTGGATCTCTGCCTGGTCGGCATCATTCGACCCTGCGATGTCCTTGAACAGGTTGCCAGCTACGATAGCGAACCCGAAATTGTTCTTCGCGTGTAAGGCTGCGACTTTGCCGAAGACTTCTGAGAGGCGGCCATTGACGTCGCCAATTACGATGACCTTGGTAGCCATGGGCGATGGTCGGATCTCGTCGTCAGGTTTGTTCTTGTGACCTGCACGATCTGAGGTTAGGGTTGTAAACAAGCGTCGCTTTACTTGGGCTTATGGACGGTGTATTGTCGTCCGCAGCAAATAAGAATGGCAGCAGAGACAAACAAGCAATCAGATCGGGCGAGCGGCAGGCGGTTGCAACTTTTACGTGGAGTGCAAAATATACACCGCGATGAACAGAGGATCGGAGAAGTGTTATCATTGATGTATTTTTAAGATGTCTTTTGAAGGAAGAGCAATGGCCACGGGCGAAATGTACGACAACACACCTTTTACATGTGAAACCAATGTCTACTGACATTGACGACATCACGAGCCACGACGGCGTGAATACCTCGACAAGATAGCAGATCACAAAATATGGATATCTAGACCTGGTAGTCAAAATTGAGCCATGTGCAATACATTTCTGTCTTTGATCCACTGTGGAGAGATCTCGTTTTTGTCCGCTCGGTGACGATCCGTTCGAAAATTTGTCGTGTGCAGCTATTCAATCCACGGGTATTCAATCGGCGTCGGATCGAGCCGCCTCCACGTTTTTACCAGACGTCAATCGCGCGCCACAAAAAGTTCGCCGACAGACCCTACAGGGAAATTTTGTCGCGACGAAATCATTCAAGATCACCTTGTCGCCATGGTCTGCGCAAAGCTCTGATGCGCCGCCCACGACCCGATACGCCATAATCGACATGGCTACACCATCCAAGACTAAGGCTACAAAGCCTTACAAGGTTGTCAAGCCGAAGAAGAACAATCGAAGATCAACACCGTCAACACGGAATTTCCGCTTCCAAACCTTCACCGAGCGCATTTCAAATCTCAAAATCGATCCGATCAGGAGGAGAAGATATGTCGAAGGGCAGGAGCAGCTCCCAGAGGAGTCGAGAACATATTTCGGTGAATCTCTCGAGGAATGGGTGGACATGAATCTTTCGCAGACTTTCTCTGCTTTCGCGAAAGAGACATTGCCGCTATGTGACAGTCTCGCACTGGTGTTGCACAATGAGCATAAGATCATGGATTTGCTGGTCAAATACATTGAAAGAGCAGATGCACTGGCTATGGAGCCGTTACTCAGTCTGACGGCACATTTCGCGCATGATCTTGACACCCGCTTCGAGAGGCACTTTGCGCGCGCAGTGACAGCCGTCATTGCTGTCGCAGCAACGCACCCTGACTTCGCTGTGATAGAATGGAGCTTCACGTGCCTCGCGTGGCTATTCAAATATCTGTCTCGCTTGCTGGCTCCGGATCTGCGTCCTCTATATGATCTGTTGGCACCGTATCTCGGCCGGGGTACACAAAAGCCGTTTGTCGTCCGCTTTACTGCGGAAGCTTTGACTTTCTTACTGAGGAAAGCTGCGGTAATCTATGAGAGGGATCGGACGCCCCTGGATCTGATCATGCTTCATATGCTGAAGGACTGCGACGATAACACGACGATATCTCGATCAGATATGCACCAGCAAGGTCTCATGACATTGTTCACAGAGGCCATCAAGAGTGTACAAAATGGCATCCATAGCTGCGGGCTACCGATCATCAAGAGCATGCTCGCCCATGGAGCCGTATTATACGAGAACGCGGGCTCTATCGTCGGTGACATTATGATTGGCACTTTGACAAGCTTGATACATCATTGTACTCAGGAGACTTTCCAACCCGTTATCAAGGTCATTCTGGAATTTTCCAAGGACATTTCGCAAACGCAAAGCCATCGATCTATTGAGCTCGCAGCGAAGTCACTGTACACCGTGATTTCTGTTCGCAAAGGATCTCGAATCTCTGATTGGTCGATGTTGATTTCCACAATCATGGAGCTAGTCAATGCCTGCGACAGCCTGTCCCAAATCGATGCGGAAACCAGTTCATCGATTTTGGCATGTGTTGCGATCGCACTACAGACTGCTACTATAGATGGCGTGCTTCTCGGTCGGGAACTGCCTGGAATTATTCGCATGAAGAGTTTGGCCCCATTCTTCCTCGAGTTCTGCGATCTTTTCTCTCGTCTTGGCTCAGAACGCTACGAAAGCTTCGTTCTTCCTCAATTCCAACTTTTCTTATCGAATCAGGAGTCGATTCCATGTTCAAAATGTCTAATTCTTATGTCAAGATTCGGCCGAAACGAGCATAAACTTAAACTGCCGCCCGTCGCCGTAGCAAAAATGATTAACAATGTTGGCGACATCGTCGACTCAGCTAACTCAGAGGACGAGTCAATACTTACTGCAAACTCCATATTGAGCGCACTCCGAACCATCACGCTCACAGGCTCGCAAGAAGATCTGCTTAAAACCATGATTGGCAGGTCCCTGCGGGCACTTCTTGCATCCGATTACCTGTCTCCATCAGCAAATCGCAGTCTAACACTCGGACCGATGTTTTCGTTTCTTCTCGATCTGCCGGAAGGCGTTTCCAGTGTTGAGCCAATGTTGGAAGATCTGTGCAAAAAGAGTACAGATTGCGTTGACCTGCCGTACTTCTGGATCAACATGCTCCGTCTATTCAAGTCGTCGAAGTGCATAGATCTTTCTGCCACCTACATCGAGACCTTCCGCCAGTCTTTGGTCAAATGCCTATCATCACCTTCGCATCGCATTCGGCGAGATGCACTGGACCTCTTCGAGACGCTGTATCGAAAGGGCAATGTCGAGCCACCAAATTCCCTCCCCATTATGATACTCATTGAATCGACACAAATTTCCTTGGAGACGAGCCGATCAATCTCAATGAACATTCGACGTCTTGCTCCAGAGTACCACGCCCTTGCTGCCGACGATGTCATGTCAAAAGCAGTACCCCACTTCTGCTTTGGTTTACTGCATCTGAACCTTGCTCAAGCGTGGGACGATGCCGTCACGACTCTGGTATCAATCTGCGAGAAGAAGCATGGCGAAGAAGTCGTGATCACTTTGGTGCAATCATGGCTCGAAGGCTCAGCATCTGACGACCGGTTCGAGAAAGCAAGTACGATGCTCGATATCAACTCAGACGGATTCAAGGTCTTCTCTGACTTCGAATGTCCCAATCTTGCCAAGATATCTGCTATTTCTGCTCAAGTCTTCGATGAGGCCGAATTTGAAAGACTGAGAACGGCAGGCTCCATGACCGGCGATGACAGGCTCGTCGCTTATCTCACCTCGAATTCGCGCACCCAAGCCCTCAAGCTCCTACATAAAGTCCCATCCCTCGCCGAAAAACGCTCACGGCTACTGGTTCCTGTTCTGCTTGGTTGGGCTGGAGATGCATCTACTGAAGCGGAGGATGAAGATACTGCGCCTAATCGTGCCAGAGTGAGGTGGTCTCGCAAGGACCAAAAAGCAATGCTCTCCGTCTTTGCTCAATTTGTAAATCCTCGAGTCCTCTATCGATCTGACGAAGTCCGCTCCGCGCTCCTGTCTCTCTGCGCCAATGGAGACGTTGAGATTCAGCGATCAGCATTGAAAGCTCTCCTAGCGTGGAAAGATGCAGTTCTGGTGAAACACCAGGAGCATCTAAGCAACCTGCTCGACGACGCGCGATTTCGAGAGGAAATCTCTGTGTTTCTTCAAGGTAACAGCGAAGATAACATGGAGGAAGAATCGACAGCAATCAAAAAGGAAGAGTACGAGAAACTTATGCCAGTGCTGCTGCGACTTCTGTACGGCAAAGCAGTCGCGGGTGGCAAGGAGGGTCAAGCTGGGCGACGAAAGGCGATTTTTGTCGCATTGTCAAACTTTGGAGAGAAGGTACTTGATCAGTACCTCTCAATAGCAATGGCATCGCTTGATGTCACAGATCTCGATGAAGACTTGGACGCTCAAAGCCTCACGGCAAAACCTGTGGCGGCACCGTTACGACAGCAAGTCGGATTTCTAAATATGTTGGCGGACATGTTACAGACTCTCGGTTCTGAACTTGAGTTCAGCGCACCCAGAATCATGAACTCAACGCTCCTTTGCACGGTCAATGCTTCTCGAGGGTTGTCCCAAGAATTACGAACCGGAGAAACAGTGCAAGAATCCCTCCTGCGGTCTGTACGGCAAACGGGTCTTCAATGTCTTGTCAAAATTTTCACCATTTTTGAGACATTTGCCTTTCGTGCACAAGGCAAGATCATTGTCGATGAGCTTATCATTCCTCGAATGGATTCATTTGTCGTGGAGAATGCTCAGTCCATCTCTGGTATCTTGCGACTCCTTGCAGCTTGGGCGGATAGAGCCGACACTGCGACTTTCTTTGCAGGCTCCGGCTCACTCATGCTTGTCCGGGCTGCAGACCTCCTTCAGGGCCAACACACGAAAGACGAGGTTCGGGTGTTCATCCTGCAAGAGCTTCTTCCAAAATTGCTGTCGCCAGATATCGACAACCCGATTGTGCAGCCGGTTGTCTCTGACTTCGTCAAAAGCATTGGATCCATCATCCAGCGTCAACCATCTAAGGATGTGCTGGATGGAAGCGTCGCCGCATTTTCTTTGCTGGCGAATCGCATAGTCAACAGCGACGAAGCAGCCGATGTCGTCAGAACGTGCACTGATCTCCTTAGGAAGCCATCAAAGGAGGTCTCTCAGCATACCAAAGCGGGTCTCTTGAAAACTTTGTTGCCGTTGGTCGAAGGTTTCAACCTGGGCTACAACCACGACGACCTCTTCAATACAATCTGTCCTCTCTTTTCTCGCCTTACTGATCCTGAAAATCGTGCCCTTCTTGCGCAGGTCTTTCAAAAGCTTGTTCGCCGCGATGAGGCACTACTGCGGACAGCCGAGGCTTGTGGTGACATGGCTGCTATGGGAACACGCCTGGATGAGCCTGACTACGACCGCCGTGAGAAAGCCTTCAAGAGCATATACGACAATTACAAGATTCTACATCTTAAGCAGTGGCTTCCCATAGTGCACAGCTGTTTATTCTACATTCGAGACCCTGAGGATCGTGTCATTCGTTCGAGTGCATCGCATGCACTGACGCTTTTTATCGAAGCCGCAGCAGGACATCAAGGGTCAGAGGAACCCGGGTGGAATGCACTGGTAGATGATGCCATCTTTTCGAATGTTGAGTATGGCATGCGTGCTCCCTCAGAGTTGGTTCGTGCCGAGTATCTCATTGTCTTGGGCTGCATTGTCGAGAAACTACCTACCTTGCCCAAGGTTACAGGCATGCAGGCCCTCATTGTTGGTGGCGATGAGGAAGCCTCTTTCTTCAGCAATGCCCTACACATCCAACATCACCGTCGGCTGCGCGCATTGCGGCGCCTGTCTGAGGATTGCTCAGGCTTGAGCGCAAATTCTGTGACACGCGTTTTCCTTCCCCTTCTTGAACACTTTGTTTTCGATCAAGTTGAAGGCGATACTGGCCGGACGCTCGCAGACCAAGCAGTGCAAACAATAGGTACACTCGCTCAAGCTGTCAATTGGCAATCCTTCCGGTCAACCTTGCAGCGATATACTGGCTACTTGAAGTCGAAGCCGGACCTTGAGAAGACAGTCCTACGTTTACTCGGGTCCATGGTCGACGGACTCAACCCTGCTGTGGCCGAAGCTCACAGTGAGCAAATCATCCGTGATCATTTACCTCCTCTTCTGGAATATCTGCATCAAAAGGATGAGTCGACCGTCGATCGCAGAATGCCTGTCGCCGTTACTATTGTCAAGCTTTTGAAGATGCTACCTGCGACAGAATTTGCAGCGAGACTGCCTGCAGTACTTACTGATGTCTCACACGTTCTGAGAAGTCGCAGCCAAGAAGCTAGAGATCAAACAAGGAGATCATTGACCACGATCGCATCATTGATCGGGGCGGAGTATTTCAAGTTCATCCTCAAAGAGCTTCGCAGTGCACTTAAGCGAGGTTATCAACTCCACGTTCTTTCTTTCACAGTGCATTCACTTTTGGTCAGCAACGCGTTCGTACCTGGCGACTTGGACGAATGTCTTCAAGATCTCATGTTAGTCATAATGGATGACATCTTCGGTGTCACTGGACAAGAAAAAGATGCCGAGGAGTACAAGAGCGGCATGAAAGAAATCAAGAGTAGTAAGAGTTTTGATACAATGGAATTGCTGGCCCGCACGACACCCATCCGCAAATTGGGAGAGCTCATTAGCCCCATCCGTGCAATGCTATCTGAGAGAATCGACCTCAAAGCAGTCAAGAAGATCGACGAGCTGCTGACGCGCCTTCGCAAAGGTCTGGATCAGAATCCGGCTTCTGAGAGTCGCGACATGCTGAGCTTTTGTTGGGAGATTGTCCATCAAGTGTACGCCGAGGATGCCGCTGCTAATGCACCTGCAGCAAAAGAGGACGAGCGGAGGAAACGCTACATTGTCCAGCCTGAAGCTCGCCTGACCAAATCCAAGAACGGTGCAACATCCTTCCGCTTCAAACTTATCAGCTTTGCGCTCAACTTACTACGAAAAGTTCTGCGTCGCCATGATGATCTCCAGACGCCGCAAAATATGGCTGGGTTCCTCCCCATCGCAGGTGATGCGCTGGTACAAGGTCAGGAAGAAGTCAAATTAGCAGCCGTACGCGTTCTCTCTACAATCATGCGTGTTCACATGCCTCAGCTCGAGGAGAACGCTCCTGTTTACGTCAAGGAAGCCGTCGGCATGATCAAAGGTGCTGCAAATACCACCACGGACGCGTCCAAAGCCGCACTCGAACTCATCACTTCCGTCTTACGCGAGAAACGCTCCGTGGACATCAAGGAGAAGGATATCGCGCTGGTTCTCAAGTGCATCAAGACCGACATCGACGAGCCAGATCGACAAGGTGTCATCTACCGCTTCCTGCGCGCCATCATTGGCCGCAAGATTGTCATCACCGAGGTCTACGAAGTCATGGATGAAGTCGGCAAAGCGATGGTGACAAATCCAGACCAATCAATTCGCGAGAGTGCGCGTGGCGCATATCTTCAATTCGTCATGGAGTTTCCGCAGGGCAAAGACCGCTGGACCAAGCAAACCGTGTTCATGGTTGGCAATCTACAATACGAGCATGCGAGTGGTCGACAGAGCATCATGGAACTGGTTCATCAAGTACTTAGCAAAGTCAGCGAGGATGTCTTGAGTGACATGGTCGTGAGAATCTTCGTCTCCCTCCTGCCGATTCTTGTCAGTGACGTCGATCGCAACTGTCGGGATATGGCAGGGCTACTGATAGCCAGAATATTCGAAAGGGCCGGCGAGCAGAAGCTGAAAGAGATTCTGGGCATGATGGAGACCTGGCTAAGGCCAGAAAAGAAAGCTGGCACGAAGTCTGGTGCACTCCAATGCTGGGCAATTCTTCTCCAGGCTGATCGTGTTTCGGAGAAGCAAATCGAGAATTTGAGAAGCAAAGTCCTCGAATTGCTGACGGACGAGGATTATACCGCTTTGAGTGAGCCCCAAGTCACCGTCGATGCACTCAAGGCGTTTATCGTACTGGTCGATGTCAGCCCCAGCGTGGGCCTCAGTCGCAACTCTAGCAAGCTTTGGTCAACTATCCAATCCATCCCAGAGTCCTCGGAAGATCGCGTCCGTGAGTTGGTTGCTACTCTTATCGGTACACTGTTTACGGACTTTGCAAGCACTAGCTCCAAGCTTCCCAAAGCCTTGGGCAGTCTTCCTCTACATGGATCTGGTGGGCTTCAGTTAGACGAGGAGGATCTGCGTCGCCTGTGCGCCGTCAACCTTCGTGCCATGAAAGTGATCGGCAACGAATCAACTGAAGCGCTTGTGGCTCAGACCATCCGAAATCTGGTCTTCCTCGGCCGATGTTTTGCTGCAAATGGAATCAAGTGGCAAGGGCTCAAAAATACGAATGGAGCTGAGCAAGCATCTGAAGACGACGACGAAGACGAGGAGGACGATGATGAGAGTGATCCTACTGTCAAGAAGGAACCTCCATCCGCGTTGACCTATATACTCATGCGTCTTTCCAAGCTGACACTTCAGCCAACCCAATCTCCGCCTTCTCGCCTCGCAGCCATGACCTGCATCTCCACTCTCCTTCCGCATCTTCCTTCGACAACAACACTTCCTATACAGCCCATTCTACGACCACTGTACGCCCTCACAGACCCAAGTATTCCCAACCCGCCCACCGCCGCGTACAAAAGCCTCGAAGAGAAAGCGCGTGAGCTTATGGAGCAGATTCAGCGTCTGTTGGGCAATCAAGCTTACATCGCCGCATTATCGGTCACTCGTGCGGAGGCCAAGGCAAGAAGGGATGGTCGTAGGACGAAGAGAAGGATCGAGGCTGTCAGTAAGCCGGAGCAGTGGGCGAAAGAAAAGAAGAGGAGGCATGACACGAAGAAGATCAAAGCGAAGCTCAAGGGTGAGGAGGCGAGAGGTCGAAGGAGAGGATGGTAGTCGCTTTCAGAGAAGATGACAATGCGAAGAAAATAGATGTATAGATCATAGATTCTTCATAATGATGCGCTCATACGCTATGAAAAAGACAGCCTAAAATTTCGAGCTTTTCCGTTTGGGCATATTTGTGCGGTGAGTGAACAACATGCACGGTGAACGTTGTCTATCATGATCATTTGTATGGCTACATGAGATACTCACGAAATACAAGCGCGCAAGATAATGAGAGAGGGCGCACCAATTCATCTCGACCCGAGATAGGCCTAGTCAATCGCATCTATGCTCTCTTCTTCAATAAGCCCTTTTCCTTCCTGCCGATGCTCACATCCAGGTTTCCTACCACCCAGCTCACAACCAACAAGGTCGCCAGACCGGCGAAGAAGATCAAGGGCTTGCGGAGACGAGCCGCGAATGGGTAAGAGTATCGGACAATGAGGTCACGGTCGCGAAGGTCGTCGACAACATTGATCGCGGTAATGGTCAGAGTTGTGCGGCCGAGGGTATCCATGAAAGTCTTGTGGAGAGTGACGGATGAGGAGATGTAGGGGAGGGTTGTCTCGAATTGGACATTACTGGCGGGAATATGAACGTCAGCATAAGTTCTTAATATTGTTTGTGGCTCTGGTGAGCAAAGAGATTCGGAGACTTACGTCGCGCCTTCGGGCAGAATAATACGAGAAACGATGCGCTCGTACTCAATGCCCTCGCTCTGCTTGGGCCCTTCAAAGAATGGTACCTTGAGCACGTAGCTGTCAGGAGCGACGGAGTCGGAAAGCTTGCGGACAAAGGCCTTCAAGTCGCTGTTCCAGCCGACGCGGAAGGAGTAGTTCCAGCCTCCGTACATGGGGTATCGAGGCTTGATCTCGAGGTTCGACTCGCGTGCATTAGCGCGGAAGTGGGAGGTGGTCACGTTTCCAATGTCGTCGATGAAGTATGGGTCGATGCTACCTGCCACCAGAGGGAAACGCAGCTCCTTTAATGCCGACGATGGGGGATTGTAGTAGGCAGTTTGCTGGAACTGCAGCCGAGAGAATTGGTTCTTGAGAGTGGCAGCTCGGTTGGTCAACCAGAATCGCTCCTCAGTCGCGATGTTGCCGCCCCAATGGCTGATCTCAACATCGCGCTCCAGCAGCGTTGCATGTGTAAGTGGCTTGGTGTACTCATATCGCACGCTGACCTCCTGCACGGCACCAGCCGGCTGCTCTCCGTAAGGACCGTAGGTGTATGTGGTACCTTGCTTTTGCGGGTCCTCCTTACCCTCAGCGTTCAATGAAGCGGGAAGAGTGACAGCGTTGGGCACGTCCGTAGTTGGTAGCTTGAGCTTGGTCTTCTGCTTGACCGTAGTGTATGCGCTGGGCGCAAAGGCGGAGAATTTGTGCAGGACGTATTGCTTTGCGGACTGTTCGATCTTGGCCGGGAGAGGTTCCAGGGCAGATAGGATGAAGTATGAGATGGCGAGTGTGCTCTGGTCATTAGGCGCCAGCGGAAATGGTAGCGTGACCTTGTAGTATTCTGTGGAGCTGACAGGATCGGTGCCGACAACGTCGATGACGAATCCCGGTTGTTGCGGTTGGTTCTTGTCCTTGACCTCGAGACCACCGATCCGGCCCAGAGTGGAGACATCGAACGGTAGGTAGTACTCCTGCTGAGGCTCCTTGGAGACATTCTCAATCACAACATAAGTCAACTCTTTCGCATAGCTCTTCTCCAGGTTGATACTCCGGACCAGGTGGACATTTCGGAAAGTCTGTGGAGGGCTGAATGGCGTTGAGAGAAGGTTGCGCGATTGTGACGACTCGTTCGATACTGCAGCGACAGCGCTCGTCAGGCCGAGGGCGGCCCATTGTAATAATTTCATCTTGTCCTTTGGATTGTGTCGATCGCATCTCTTTCCAATGTCGATATTTCCTACATTATCCAATGCCTCCAGTGGTAGACAGCTGTATACTCGGTAAACCTTCCTTGTCTCCTCCACCACTTCAACGTTCAGGGTACAACATGGTAGACCTCCGGCTTCGAGGATACAGTACCCCTGCACATACACTAGCATGTCTAAACAAGAGTGACAACAGCTCAATTATCCGCTAGGGGACCTTCGTATCGATGGAACAGGCTTTTTGTACACGGACATAGCATGTTTCGCGAGCCCCTTGATGTGAGGCACAGATATCAATCGTGCTCCTCAAGACGCATCTCAAGATGCTGTCCCTGCGACTAGTCAACCGGACATGTCAAACAAGTCTGGCGGCACCACGGACTGGCACGCGACTTGGGGTCCATCACACCCGAAAATGGTCGAATTCGCGTTCGAATCTAGTGAAGGTATCTGAGGAAGTTCAACAAGCCATTGCAGAAAATCGACCTGTTGTCGCCTTAGAAAGCACGATCTACACACATGGGTTTCCCTACCCAGATAACCTTGCTTTGGCATCACGATTGGAATCATTGGTACGACTTAATGGCGGTGTACCTGCAACTATTGGCATCATTGACGGGGTGCCGAAAGTCGGACTGGGAGCAGATGATCTAATCCGTTTGGTCTCATCGTCCTCGGATGCAGGCAACTTGATGAAAGTCTCGCGACGGGATCTAGCCTTTGCCTGTGCGCTTCGGGATGCTTCAGATCGACCTTTCAATGGAGGTACAACGGTCTCTGGTACCATGATCCTTGCCCATTTGGCCGGCATCAAGGTGTTTGCGACAGGAGGTCTAGGTGGTGTCCATCGTGGTGCGGAAGTCACCATGGATGTGTCGGCCGATCTCACGGAGCTAGGTCGGACTCCCGTGGCAGTTATCAGCTCTGGCTGCAAGTCTTTCCTGGATATTCCAAAAACCTTGGAGTATCTCGAGACTCAAGGTGTGGCAGTGGCAACATTTGCAGACGGACGAACAGGCTCCGTGGACTTTCCAGCATTCTACACTCGAGAGAGTGGCGTGCGCAGTCCTGTAGTGTTCCAGGACGAAATTTCTGCCGCTCGTGTCATATATGCCTCGCACCTTCTCGGTCTTCAATCTGGGATGGTCTTTGCAAACCCGATCCCTGAGCACCATTCCATTCCTTTCGAGAAGATGGAAGTATCCATAGCACAGGCTCTACAAGAGGCTCATGCTGCAGGAGCTACTGGCGCAAAGAGCACGCCTTTCATTCTTGCAAAAATCAAAGAACTCACAGGCAACAAGAGTGTCGAAGCGAACAAAGCTCTGGTCGAAGCCAATGTCATCCGTGGTACAAAGGTCGCTGTTGCACTGGCTCGGCTCGAGCGCGATGGCTCCATCGGACTGAAGTGAGTGCGATACCATATTATGAGAAGGTGACCTAGCTTATTCCGAGGTAGGAACGAGCAGCATTCTGCGGCAGAGGTCATTGGCCCAGGTCCGCGAAATTACACAAACGACGGCGTCCCAGGAGGGCCGGCATCTGCAATCCAAGGATCTACAAGATCGGGCACTTTGTTTCACAACAAGGCCATAGAATTGCCGGATTATAAACCGACCGTTTTTGTGGCGGGTAGTCTTGCTGTCGATCTAGCATGCGATTTTCAACCTCGCGCCGGCAGTGCCGCAAGTACGCCAGCGCCGCATACATCTAATCCAGCGAGGGTCATTCAGTCCCTCGGAGGAGTAGGTCACAACGTTGCCCGTGCAGCCCAACTCATGGGTGCTAGAGTACAGCTCTGTAGTGTCGTTGGCGATGACCTCGCTGGCAAAGCAGCACTGGAAGCGTTGAATATCGAAAAGTTGCCGAGCACAGGTATCGCGACTCTTGAGAAGGAGAGCGGTGCCCGTACGGCTCAATACGTTGCCGTGAATGACTCGTCGAAGGACCTTGTTATTGCCATGGCCGACATGAGCATCATCGATGGAGATGATGCTTCACTTCTCAAGACCTTCGAAGCGCGTTGGCTTCCCTCGCTTCAAAAGCACAAACCCAGCCATGTTGTACTTGATGCAAATTGGTCACCAAAGCTTCTGAGCGCCTGGCTTGCAGCTGCACACGAGATCTCTGCACATGTCACGTTTGAGCCTGTGAGCACCGCCAAAGTCACCAAAATCTTCCAATTGCCGCCTTCCTCGTCAGGCAGGGGCAGTGCTTCCGTGCTGCCTGTCTTCCCTCTCCCTCAGATCCACCTTCTCACACCTAACGACCATGAACTAGCCGCTCTGCATGCCTTCGCCTCTTCATCATCAGTGTCTTTGGGGAACAACCCACACCATTTCTCACGCGACGACTGGTGGCGTGTGATCAACGCCTTCGGAATACCCGATACTGGTGCTCGTGCCAAACTTTGTCTCGCCACTTCGAAGGCTTTGGTAGACCAGGGTATTCCTCAGCAGTGTCTGCAGCTGCTGCCTTTCTTCCCTGTCATCGCCGCGAAGCTTGGTCGCCAAGGTGTACTTCTCGTGCAAGTTCTCCCTGCAGGAGACCCCAGATTACAGAAAGCAGAATATGCAGAATTCATGTTGAGCCGGAATCCTACAGCAGGCGCTGAGGAGGAGCCCAATGGCAGCGAGAGTATCGGAGGTGTGTACATGCGATTGTTCCCCCCACCGGAAGAAATTCCCGCCGAGGAAATTCGCAGTGTCAACGGAGTTGGAGACACTTTTGCGGGCGCCTTGGTTGCGGGCCTTGCCAGAGGGAAGGAGAATGGAAGAGAGACCCACGTGGAGGATTTGGTTGACCTAGCACAAAGGGCTGCCGGTTTGACGTTGAGGAGTCTCGAGGCTGTGAGTGGAGAAGTGGCCAGCTTGAAGAGCCTACTGAATTGAGCCATTTCTCCGGCGAGGATTATATGCTCGCTCGAATGTAATTTTTACATGTATATCTAGCATTATCCCGGTGAGGATGATCATCATTTCAATTTGTCGCAACCGGATATACATTTATATATAGAAGGTTGTATGATGAAGAGGATCTGAAACTATCGGATTGGGCAAATAACAAACATCATGAATTTAATCGAGGGTGGGGCAGACGCTTGAGCATCAAGAAAACGCCTGTTCACGATTCACTACGCGATCAAGAATACGATATCGATCCAACATTTCATCATCTACCCCGGTATAAATAAAACGGCAACGGAGGTCTCTTTTCCCCACTAGGAATGTTCGCAAGCAAGGAAAGGTTCATGTCAAATTTCGAAACGCAATGACGACCATTTCCTCCGTCTGCTCTCACACTCTCGTCGAGCCTCCAAGCTGTATCGCATTCTGTCCCTCCCGACCTGAGTATTTTGTGGTGGGCACCTACTATCTACATCGAAAGCCACCAGGGGCTCCAAGCGAAAATGAGTTCGCCAAGAATGAAGACACTCGGCACAGCGATGAGAATCCGATCGGTAGCGGACCGCAAAAACGAGATGGTCGATTAATTTTGTGCCGTCTTTCTGAGTCTGATGAAGTGTATGTATTTCTGTCTATACAACCTCTGCTAAGTCAATGTCCATGATTTCGGTCTGACGGTTAGCCGATAGCGAGTGCATGCACCCATCCGAGATCCACACAGAGTCTGCCGTCCTCGACTTCCAATGGGCACCACCCTCAGCCGAGCTTCCCGGAGTTCTCGCAGTCGCCCAATCCACAGGCATTATCGCCTTCTACAAACTAGTTTTCTGGTCCAAAGAAGACCCGGATGCCTCCCACCATGCTGGAAAGCCAAGTGCATACTTTCGACTCCTGAGTACACATCAGGTTTGCGAACCATCCATCCTCATCCTCTCTTTGACTTGGTCCGATGTACTTCCGCATATTCTCGGTATGACCTTATCCGATGGCCGAGTCTCGATAGCGCGGATTACAGTTCAACCTGAAGCAGAACACGCCGAGCAAGAGAGCACAGCACAGTCCTTACCAATTCTAAAACTCGGTACACCACTCTCAACACAACAACATGGCCTCGAAGCGTGGTGTATGGCCTTCGCGCTCGAGGAGAACGCCTCAAACCCTCCCTCGTCTGCCTCCGCGGAAAAGTCAATATCAATCCTCTCCGGCGGCGACGACATGTACCTCCGCAGCACCCGCATCGCCATTCCAACCTCATCATCATCATCATCATCATCATCATCATCATCATCATCATCATCATCATCATCATCATCATCATCAGAACCATCGGACGACCCACCGAGCTCCACGCTCGTCTTCCAGGACCGCCGCATACATACCGCTGGCGTCACCGCTCTGCTTCCGCTCACGCCCAATCTTCTGATCACAGGGAGCTACGATGATCATATTCGACTCGTGCATATCCCTTCCGCGAAAACGAACGCGGGTGGAGAATTCGAGCGAGCGGGACCAGCGAGGCCACAGGTTCTGGCCGAGTTGGATTTAGGTGGAGGGGTCTGGAGGATCAAAACCTTGGAAGAAACCGGGGATGATCATGTTGCGGACTCTGGAAAGGAAGGGCCAAGCAAAATGTCGGGGAGGAACGGTGTTCTGCTGCTAGTGAGCTGCATGTATGCTGGAGCGAGGATTGTACGGCTTGTTCGCTCGACGACTGGCGGCTCAGCCGACGAGGACGAGTGGGCGTTTCAAGTTGAGGCACAATTCACGGAGCATAAGAGTATGAATTATGGTAGTGACGTGCGACCACAGGGCCTCGACCAAGTAGCAGAGGGAAAGGCCACGATGAAACCAGAAGTAGCTGGTAAGTCGGACTCGAATGGTTCGACGAGGCTGCGGAGGACGATCGTGAGCTCCAGCTTTTACGACAAATTACTGTGTTCGTGGTATTGGGAAGAATGAAGAAAAGGCGATAACGCGTCACATACGACGGCAAGGAATTGGAACCCAAGAAAGTATCAAGTTTCAAATCATGTCTCATGTCATTCCATTCAATAACGGGAGTAGTCGACATTTCTCACGACCACTCCATGCTGTCAGATAAATTGCTACTCTAGTAGCCCTCAGCCTCCATGTCCTTGGCACAAGCAGCCTTGCGCTCGTCGATGACCTTGAGTGCCTCCTCAGCAGCCTTAACACCGCTGAGTGCCATGGCGCCGAAGGTGGGACCCATGCGGTTGGCACCGTCGACCTCTGAGAGCTCCATACCGCCGATGATGAGACCGGGTGCGACCTCACGGGTGCGGATGACAATGGCGTCTTCAGCACGGTTCATGTCAAGGCCACGCATGCCACCGAGGGCCTGGAGGGAGCCCATGGAGACGAGACGTTTGGCGCAGAAGGCACCGAATGGACCTGAGATGATTCGTTAGTCGTCGGAGACTTGCCCGTCTGGTGCCGGAAAAGGACTTACCGTCGTGGCCAGTGGTGGAGATGATGATGGGAGCGTTGATGGTGTTGGGGTCCATGCAGGACTTAATAACGACATGTCAGCATCGCATGCAATTGAACATTCAGAGCGAATAAGAACGTACCTGGTCGTCGTGGTGCATGCTCACGAGGGTCCAGTTGGTCACAACACCAGCAATGCGGATACCACCCTGGCCGTCAGGACGAGTGATCAGGTCCTCAACAGCGGTGGCGTTGAAGAGCTTCACGTTGGAGAACTGGAGGACCTTGGACAGAACAGTGCTGGTGAAGAGGGCCGCGTGCTTGACAACGACGAAGTTGGATGATGGGCCGTCGTCCTCGTATGGCACGCCAACCTCGCGGAGGAAGGCATCGGCAGGCTTACGCATGACCATGGCGCTGAAGAGCTGGCCACCGAGCCAAGCACCACCACCGGGAGCAACGCCGGCCTCGACAATGGCGATCTTGAGGTCTGGACGGGCCTTGGCCAAGCAGTAGGCAGCGGACAAACCACAGCTTCCGGCACCGACAATGACAATGTCGCTCTCGGCGTAGTTGTCGAGGTCGGCAAAGTAGCGGCGGGTCATGGCACGGGAGACCTGGCTCTCACGGATGGGAGCAAACTTGAAGGAGCTCCACTTGCCAGCCATCTCCTCAACAGTCTGAGGCTGGGCAGAGGCCTTGACTGGCACGCTGGTCGCGTGAGGAAGGTGGGCCAACTTGGCAGCAGGAACACCGTTGTCGGTGGTCGGCTCCTGGAAGTGCATGGCAACGGGAGGAGACATGTTTTTGGAGTTTTGGTTTCACTGTGGGAGTCAGTGGCATAATCAAAGCAGGGAAAGGGGGATCTCGATGAAAGCATGATTCTTCCGCTGGTATTATCCAGATATCAAGTTCTGCCGTATAATCTCAGAACGGTGTGTACGGTGGTGGCTCTAACCCTCTCCCAGATGAGTTTCAAGGTGGTGTTCTAGAGGAGAAGCATCATGATTCGGAGTCGATCCTTGTCATGATGGACCCAACGTCTGTCTCATGAACAGCAGAACACCACCACGACTATCTGGGTTGGAGGGCAAGATGAACTCCACCATGTACAACACCGAACACCGGCTCAGGCTTATTCAATCGACCTTTTTGTGATTGGTACCTTGACTCTCATGGATCACACCGCGGGCGAGTGAATCGATATTGCCTCATCGTGATGGCTGGCGAGATAGCTCATCGTACCTGAGGATGGTAGTCTACATTGTGAATGTTCATGTATCAGCTTCCTGGTAACTCAATGATGGATTTCATGATATGATGTACTTCTCCAACTGAGACCGCTTCTGTGGTGTTCGTAGGGGTGGTACAGTGACGATAGCAGGTGATGAAGAAGAGAAGAGGGGAGAGTGATCAGTTCTTTGGAGGTGTCTGATCAAGGAGGGAAATATATATGGATCCATTTCAGCAAAAAGCTTCATGTTTCAATGCCCCGCGTGATGACACGCTCTTAAGAGCTCCAGACCAACGAAGCCATCCAGCCTTGTATGCGTCTGGCCTGCTTCACTTGACTATCGACCTACACGCATTGGTCGGACGTGCTGCACGGTGTGGCAATCTGGATAGCTTTGTCCGATAAAGCTGTCTCATTCGGGATTGAGCTGGAAGGCTTCTCTCGAGCCTCCGCTCTGGCTATTGACCTGACCACCTGAACATGGAGTCAAGTCTCCAGACATCGCTCACTTATCAGTCATGATGAAATAGCCCCGCGATTACAAGCAAGTCACAGCTCGTGTGACCATTGGTACGAGTGCATGAACACGGCGAGACTCCTCAGGAGCAGCGTGCGCTTCCATCAATGTGGTCGCCACTGGAACTATGATTGCTGGAATAATCCCGTTGCAGCATTTCAAATTTCGTTCCGCCCAAATGCCCTGGAGGCATTGGAAATTTTCCCCCGCCGACGCAGGGTCTGCTCAGACAACCTTGGACCCCAGACGCAGGTGCTAGCCATTAGAGTCTGCTGAGAAGCTATAGCTCTGATGAGCAGCTTGGCAGTAGTCCAAGGCTGGCTAGCTACCTGGCAAGATGTGCGAATGTCAACCTTGGGAGTATGTTGGGAGCTGTTGCCAGATCTGCAGCGCCTGAAGTACAATGGATGGTGGGCATCGGGCATTAAGAGTACCTGCAAAAGCGAGTCACGTATGAAGGAACCTCGCAAAGAAAAGCTTGAGCGCCTTGCTTCGTCCAACGGCCAAAATGTGATGACGAGACCACTGCATTGTACTGGAGCTGCTTCTCAGAACGTTTGTGCTTCTCCGTGACTCGCCGCAGCGATCGCGGATTGGTGGTCTTAGGGTCGTGACAACCCCAACCCAAACCCTATGGCCTCGATACAAATCGAGAGTGGGCTTGGATATTTGTTGTATCCTCTTGAGGGGGTCTTGAAGAATGACCGACCTGCTCTATAAGATGCTTCATGATCATGTGCGGTACGCGTCTCGACAGTTTGCTGTAGTCATCGTGAAAAATATACGAGACCATGATGCTGCACAGGTAGTGTGCGAGACGCGGACTTTGGCTCGGACTTGTATCACACGCCACTTCCAGGCACCCTCTACTCGAAACTACTCGACGAACCAAACTGAACACTAAGGATCGAAAAACAATACTATCGTCTGCCTGTCAAGAGTTGGGACGGAGACTGTAGAGCTGATGTTGAGAGAGGGATGCATGAGCACAGACACATGTTGCCCGAGTCGAATGCTTGAAACTGTTGTGGGGAACAGAGAGTTCGTGCCTTTGAGCGTGAAGAACGAACTTTCCCACGTGCGGAGTCCGCCTCCCGCAATCGCGACATTGTTGTAGACGCGACACCACGATCCGGCCGTGCACAAGAGACGTGTCGGCCGCAACAGTTGGCTTGTTAACCCGGCAGAACACAAGAAGCGATCCATTGACGGGTTGGGCCTCACATACACCGGTCTCGCTTGGAGTTTTTGAAATGAAGCTCGTGTCGCTGGCGCTCGAGATGGCCAGCGCGACATGGTCACAGGGCTGTGCATCGCTGGCTGCCACGGCTGCATATCCAGGCGATGTTGCGCCCCGCAGGATCGCGCATGCGAAGATGCACAAAAGCAATCAACCGACACGTGATAAAAAGCAACCATAGGCACTGCGGCCAGGTAAGCATGAGATTTGCCCATGAGCGAACACCTGCATCGGGCGACTTTTGAGTATTGCTCCATCATTCGCAAGCATCCTCGCCCAAACGAGCCAAGTGCAAGTAGTTTCGGTGGCGCTGCATCGTTCTTTCGAACGTGTACAAATTGATCGCAGTGTGATGCCTTGCTCGGGTTTGTAAGACGTCCAGGACGGCTTGCGCACATCACGATGCGCCTACTGAAGCGCTCTCCAGACGGCAAGATCAGCCTGGAATCGTTCAAGAGCCTTGACCACTTCAGGTCCACGACCTCGTCGCGATATGCCGTTCTTTCCCACACATGGGTCGAAGGGCAAGAAATCACATACCAGGAGTTTTTGAACAGCACTGGTCACGACAGTAAAGGCTATGAGAAGATTCAGTTTTGCGTGAATCAAGCAGCAGCCGATGGAATCGAATATTCGTGGATAGACACGTGTTGCATCAACAAGGAATCGCTCCCCGAACTCACAACTGCAATCAATTCCATGTTTTCATGGTATAAGAGTGCAGCAAGGTGCTATGTCTGTTTGCCTGACGTAGAGGTTCCCCCTGATGTGACCGACCCTTCTGCTTACAAAATTACTTGGATTCATGCATACAAGCGTAGCCGATGGTTCACGCGTGGGTGGACGTTGCAGGAGTTGCTCGCACCTCCAATCGTTGACTTCTTCTCGAAGGAAGGGAAGAAACTGGGCAGCAAGATATCGCTCGAGAAAGAGATTCATGAAACCACCCGCATTCCGCTTTCGGCGCTGAGGGATCCGGACCTTGGTCAATTCAGTGTCGAGGAACGCTTTCGATGGATAGAGGGACGTTCCACAACAGTGCCGGAGGACAAAGCGTACTGCTTGTTCGGCATTTTCAATATATTTCTGCCACTGATATATGCTGAAGGAGAAGAACATGCACTGCAACGTGTGAGAGATGAGGTGAATCGACGACAGCTGGACCTAGCAACTCAGACTCTGGCAGATATAAAGCTCAGCGAGCCTATTCGTGGCACGCTACCCAGCCAACCCAACGGAAATGGAATTGCTGCCGTAGACGACTCTGATCTGCCGAGCCGCAACGTTGCGAACGCCGTCGCTGGCAGCATGTACGGATCGGACAAAGCGTCGCACAATGTACCATTCCCGCGGGATCGAGATTTCATACAGCGGCCAGATTTGACTGACCAGATCACTGCCGCTCTAGCCATTCCTCAAGCTCGCCTCGCCCTAGTCGGTGTCGGCGGCGTGGGGTAAGACATCAACTACCCATTAACCTATAAGTACTAACAAAATCGCAGCAAATCACAGATTGCAATCAACTATTGCTACCATGTGCGGGATGAGTCACCTCGGACGTGGGTATTTTGGATCCATGCGAGTAATGCTGCTCGTTACAGTCAGGGCGTCCGCGATTGTTTGGACCTTGCCGACGTAGACAAACGTTTCGATCCCCAAGTAAATATCCACGAGCTCTTCCGTAATTGGCTTCGCAGCAGAGACAGCGGTCGATGGTTGATTGTTATCGACAACGCGGATGAGATCGATTTCCTCGTCGAGAGAAGCAACGGTCAGACACCTTTATTCAAGCACTTGCCACCTTGCAACCATGGGACGATCCTTATCACATCGAGAAGTAAAATCTCAGCATTGAAGCTCGTGGAGCCGAAAGAAATCGTCGAGATTCCGCCAATGGGCGAACAGCAAGCCATAGCTCTTATCGAGAAACAACTAGGCCCAAACTCAGGCATCCAGAGACTTGCCCGCGCTTTGGATTACATGCCATTGGCCATGTCACAGGCAGCAGCGTACATCAAGAACCGAGGCAAACGCTTTTCCATAGAGCGCTACATTGAAAAACTACAAAAAGGTGATCAATCGAAGAGAAGCATACTTGACGAGGAAGTAGGAGATTTGCGACGTGATGATGAAGCTCGTAATGCTATCGCCCTGACATGGCAGATTTCTTTTGAGCATATCCGCCGGCTCCGACGATCTGCGGCCGATCTACTATCTCTAATGAGCTTCTGTGATCGCCAGGCGATTCCGGAGAATCTACTCAAAGTAAAACGCGAGAGCCGACAGGATGAGAAAATCCCCGATGGAAACCACAGTGATGATAATATCGACGACATGAGTTCGGATGCTTCAAGCGATGACGGATCCGACACATCCCAAGACGATGGATTTGAGAAAGACGTCATCATGCTTGAAGGATTTGCTTTCATATCGATCACCACAGCGGAAGAGTCGACATACGAAATGCATCGATTGGTACAGCGCGCCACACAGCGATGGCTGCAGTCGCAGAAGCAATTTGAGCATTGGAGAGCGGCTTTCCTGTACAATCTCGCCGACATACATCCTTCAGGCGAGTACGAGAATTGGAAAGAGTGTCAAACGCTACGTCCGCATGTCAGAGCGGCACTGGACTTGAATGTAATGCACAGAGACGAGCTATTGGATTTGGCTTCGACCTGCTTCAAAGCCGGATGGTATGCCTACCAGATGCACCTAGACAGCGAAGCAGCAGAGATGTACACGAGGGCATACGCAATATCTTGTCAAGAAAGAGGGGAAGATCACGATGGTTCGTTGGGCATCGTAAATGATCTAGCGCTGGTTCGTCTCCGACAAGGACGCCTCGCCGAGGCCGAGAAGCTACAGAAGAAGGTGCTGAAGACAAGGGCATTGTCGCTCGAGGCAGAACATCCCAGAATGCTGATGAGCATGCACAACCTTGCACTCACATACTCATACCAAGAGCGGTGGGGGGAGGCGGAGGAGCTACTCGCGAAAGTGCTCGAAACGAAATACGTCGTCTTCGGCAAGCAACACCGTGATACGCTTTTGAGCATGTACGATCTAGCATACCTCTTCCAAAGGCAAAAGCGTTGGACGGAGGCAGAAGAACTCACGGTCGAGGTGCTCGAGATACGGAGACGAATGCTTGGGGCAGATCACCCGGATACGCTTGACAGCATGGCCGATCTCGCAGCTATGTATCGAGGGCGAGAGCAGTGGGAGAAGGCGGAAGAGCTGTATATGAAGACAGTCGAGGCACGCCAGAGAGTTCTGGGATTAGCGCACAACAGTACTTCGGCCAGTATGGCCGCTCTCTCCCGCATCTATTACAAGCAAAATCGTTGGGCAGAAGCTGAACAGATGCTCTCAAAAGTAGTCGAGACAAGAACCAAATTTGAAGGAGCGGAGCACATAGACACCTTATTTGATATGCACGAACTTGCATGCATATATATGGTGCTAGAGCGCTGGGAGGAGGCCGCATCATTCCTCGAGAAGGTGGTCGAAGCACGACAGAGAGTCCTTGGACCACAGCACAAAAACACACTTATTAGCATGTCAAAGCTCTCTGACGTCTATTATGAGCAAAATCGTTGGGCAGAAGCTGCACTACTCAGGGCGAAAGAGGTAGAGACTCGAGCGAAGAGTCAAGGAGAAGAGGACGAGGAAACCTTGTTTGCCATGCATGAGCTTGCAGTTATATATGTGGCGCAAGAGCGATGGAAAGAAGCCGAATCACTCCTCGAGAAAGTGGTCGAGACAAGACAGAGAGTTCTTGGACCAGAGCACAAAAACACTCTCATCAGCATGTCAAAGCTCGCTGACATCTATTGTAAGCAGTGCCGTTGGGCAGAAGCTGCTTCGCTCAGGGCGAAAGAGGTAGAGATCAGAGTCAGAGTTCAAGGAGCAGAGAACGAGGACACGTTGTTTGCCATGCATGAGCTTGCAGTAGTATATCGAGCGCAAAGTCGACAGCCGGAGGCGCGAGAGCTCTTGGTAAAGGTGGTAGACGCACGGTCGAGAGTGCTTGGTTCTGAGCATCCGGATACTTTGGAGAGCAGGATTCGGCTGTCCGATGTCTCTTCCGAGTCGAGCCAATGAGACAAGGCCGAAGAGCTGACGGGAACCGTGCATCGATTCGAGAAGGCCTCCAGTCTGAAAAGCAAGAGGGCTTTTTAGGGGATTGATTTTCCATTGCAAAGGTCCGACGCACATGGGCAGATGCAGAGCTTAGTGGTGCTGCGCATGCCCGAGTGATTGCTGGTGTCGCAGGGAACATCCTACGATAGAAGTAGGCCTGGATCGGATACCAAACGGACAGGCTGCCACCGACGATGCTGTGACGATTGCCTTCGAGCCAAGGCAGTTCCGTTCCAAAGTCGGAACGTTGTCGAAATGGCGGGAATATCGGCAGCACGTCCTCGCCGCCGAGACAGCTCCATAAACTCGGAACTAAGCGTAGGATAGAAAACCGGGACAACTATCGATGGAGAAGTCACAAGGTAAGCTCCCTCGAGGGATGATACATCTACGTTGGAGCCATACGTCAGGGCTGTCTCAGTAATCTCGATGGCATGGCGGCTACATCTCACCTTGTCGAAGAGCCTAGTATTTCCGTGGTCAGGAAAGAGAGAATGCTGACCACTTTGTTACAAGCCGCACTCGTATCTTCAAAAAGGTTCTGTTGGCCTGTTGTGACCTGGCCTGTTGTGACCTGGAACTGTAACAGTCTGTCCACGCGACTGGGCCGAGAGTGAATCTTGACTTTCACGCGAGTGCGCGGCATATGCTCCTCTTCGAACCCCAATACAATCTGGCTAATCAATGATGTCTTTTGTCAAGACCTCTGATGCCTCCAACGCGAGCCGGAAGTGAACACACACCGCAAGAAGCAATTCGTCTCGTTTGGGAATGGCTTCATCGATCGTGGAGACATCGCCGCTTCAACGACAGCCTGATACCTTTGCCAATGCTAGTGCTTGGCTTAGATGGCGGGTATGGCACATGTTCACGTTTGATGGATTTCACCACTGTATAGCACTGGCGAGACTTCGATTGTGTGATGACCGTGATGACACGCCGCACGACCGATGTGTCGGCAGGTACGAAGGAGGATTTCAAGTGTTGAATATGACATCGATCCGATGCAGCTGGTTGGCTGCCAGGTGGCTATACTTAGAGAGCGCAGCGCTAGTCATTGCTCCTTTCGATCGTAGGTGTGTTATGGGATCCAGGGATGGCAATGAAAATCACCTGCAATACACAATAAACTCAATAATCAGCACTAACCATCAAACGACGTGTCAGCGTCATCCCAGATCTCAAATACTCAGGTAGGTAGGTACTCATGAATGTTTATTGTAATTCGGCATATGTAGCTTCTTTGGGATAAAGCCTCTGGGACGGCGAGAGACCAGCAGCCTTCTCATCTTCCAAGGTTCTTTCTATAGGAATATGTAGAAGCGGCATTCAATGTCGCACGACATGACTCTGAGTGTCGCAATGGTCATTATTATTTACAAGAATTTCAGGCGACCACACTCCCGGTGTCCTCAACGCATCCCAGATCGGAGACTTTGAAGTCGCAAGTGACGCGCGGTTAACACGCCAATCTAGATCCATTTTTGGACGCATTACCTATGCAGCATTTTGAACAGGTCAACACCTCGAATGACCAGAGTATTGACATGTCGTGTTCCCCGAACCATCCGAATCCGTCGAGTTTTCAATAGTGTTCCTCTCGGCAGACCACGCGACACGCTCCATTTAGCTCGGAATGCTACTGCAACATTGCGCAAGAACAAGACGCGATACGCTGTCGTTGCTACGGCGGTGATGTCCAAGCCATGGCCATGACGAAGCTGGGCGCCTGAATCCTGCCCTTTGCCGATCATTCGCACCTGTCATGGCATAGCCACACTCCTTGTAGGTGCAGGTGAGCAGCAGGAGAAGATGTCGTGGAGCCCGTGCGGCTTACTCTGTCACATCCAAGTCTGACGACTCCGGCACTGTCGATCCTCGTATCTGCCGCTGTGGCTATTCACGGAAGGGTGTCACTGCAGCACATGGGAAAAATATTTCTCGCGAAAGAGGCGCCTCGCGTCACCTGAAAATGGCTGTCCTCGTCGTGTACCAGAATGTCCAACTTTTTTCCTGCAAGAGCTTCCAGACAGATATATAAAGAGCCAGCCCAATTTCAATAGTCACAAGCCAACGATCAACAAGGGCGTGTCCACCGGTCGATCTTGCATCTCATTGTCGCTTCCAAGGATCCAAGGTTCTCTGAGACTTTTATTTCTTGACAGCCGTGTATTCTCCTCTCTCGTTGACCAGAGACGAGCCGACCCGTTGTCATCATACACCAAAGATGATGCTCCGGCTCGCTTTCTCGAGCGTCATCCTCCTCGCTTGGGACGTAGCGGCCGGCGTCGCAGCTCGACCTAGTGCAGGGGTGACAAGGTCTTCCGGCAGCCATGAATCACCTCGCACGAGACAGGTAGCAGGCACATACCCAATCACAGGTGTCCAGCAATCTGGCATACAGCCTCGTCTTGAGCTTCGTCGGCTGCAAGAGGATTTCCCTGATACTTTCAACCTCTATCTGTTGGGACTTCAGAAGTTTCAGCAGGTTGATCAAAGTGACCCATTGTCGTGGTACGGTATTGCAGGTTGGTTGGCCCTGACAGAAATATTGCTATTGCCTTCAGGATGTTGATCTCTTCTCAGGAATCCATGGCCGCCCATACATTGGCTGGGATGGCGTCGGTGCAGGTCCAGGCCTGCCAGGGTCCCCAGGTTTCTGCCATCACGTCTCGAATCTTCTCCTTTCGTGGCATCGTCCTTTCCTTGCTCTGTACGAGCAAGTTCTGTTCCTGCATATTCAAGATGCGGCGAATGAGTTTCCCGAGGGAGAACTCCGTCAACGCTATACCGCAGCCGCCTCGACATGGCGGATTCCATATTGGGATTGGGCAGCGCCGCCACAGAATGGGCAGGGTGTCTATCCGGACATTCTTGGTGCCCCGACTGTGAAGGTAACGACTCCTACTGGAGAGGCCGAAATCGACAATCCCCTTTATTCGTACAAGTTCCACCCCGTCTCTGTAGAGGACTTCTACTGGCAGCCAGTAAGTTGATTTTTCGATGCTAGGCATGTTTCTCGCTAATTCATTTAGTTTACCTCTTGGCCAGAGACTCTGCGCTCTCCCGATTCGCAAAACATCAGCCGGAGTACCTTGGTTGCCTCGCAACTCGACAACAATCGCCCGTCTTTCATGAGTCGTCTCTATAACCTCTTGACCACGTATGATAACTTCACACAGTTCGAGACTTATGCCAGGCAAGATCCAAACAGCCCCAATGCGGATAGCCTGGAGTCCATTCATGATGCAATTCATGGTATCACCGGCGGTAACGGCCACATGTCCTACCTAGACTACTCCGCATTTGACCCTCTCTTTATGCTGCATCATGCTATGGTCGATCGGGTATTTGCTGTCTGGCAGGCACTCCATCCGGATAGTTATGTCGAACCAATGATTTCAGTGGAACAGACATATACGACTTCTGTGAATAGCCTTCTCGATGGCGACACTCGTAAGTTGAGCTCCTGCAGAGTGAAGATTCAGCACTGACACACTTGAACGGCAGCCCTGCAACCATTCCACTCCGACGGCAGTGGGACTACCTGGACGTCTAACGCCGTCCGATCCATTGACACGCTCGGCTATACCTATCCCGAACTCGCCAACAATGCCGATCAGTCGAGCATTCGCGAGGCCGTCAATGCCCTTTATGCAGGCGGTCAGACCAGCCGAAAGGTGTCCTCCTTCAGCCGCCTGCAGAGTGCTGCCGACGCCGACTCCAGCCTCCCGGACGATCAATACCACGCATATACTGCCAACATCAACTCTCGCAAGTTTGCCTTCAAGGGCTCATACGCTATCTATGTCTTCTTGGGAAATGTGACAAGTGAGAACGCAGCAGAATGGCCCCTGGCGTCGAATCTTGTCGGTACACAGGGTGTCTTTACCGGAATGACGATGCCTGTCGCAGCTTCATCAAACAAAATGTCGTCAGATGGTACGCAGGATTCCAGCGACGCTGCTGGCGGCAGTGTCACGGTCACCGGCACGGTACCATTGACCGACGCTCTCCTGAAACATGTCAAATCAGGAGATTTGGCAAGCCTGAAAGAAGCCGACGTGAGAGCTTTCCTGCGCAAGAATTTGCAATGGCGTATTGGCAAGGTATGTCGACGTCTCTTCATCCTGATGCTCTCTTGTGTGCACTTGACAGGACAACTGATATCGAATCTTTCATCTAGTACGACGGCACCGCGATCACTGATACCAGTGCGGCGGATCTATCCATTACTATCATCTCCGCAGAAGTCCAACCTGCCAAGGCGGCCGACCAATTCCCGACTCGGAGCAATTTCGCTGTTTTGGATGCGCAGGAAGCCTAATCTGGGAAGTCTCCAAAAGTTTCGAGGGGTGCAAATATAATTCCATGGAAAATGCTTCTCTAATAGTGGTTCGATTGCTCGGGTTTGGAAATGCGGGAGACGCGAGGAGCAAGTTCTTGGTGCATGGCTACTCCTGAATTGCTTCCATTAATAGTTAATGTTGAAGTGCACGCCTAGTCAGCTAATTAATAATATTTGACGAATGCTCATGGACTGAGGTTACTCCCTACTTGCGTTCACCATATCGACATGCCAACGACGGCCGAATTGGATGCATCGAGAGTTCCGATCCTCAAAGTGTCTATATTGTCGCTCAAATTCGAAAAGTATTGCACATGATGCTCCCTTCACCCCTTCTATACCCAGAACGCCATTCATGCCCATAAATCAAATCTCCAAAATGATCCCAGGATCCCGCCCAATCCCTCCTTTCCCTCAAGAAGTACCAAGTGATATCACGACCCAAGATCTTTTCTCAAATCAGTCCGATCCTCTGTTCCCCCAAAGTCAATTTCCAGTTCAAAGCCAAGCCGCCCACATCGCCATTCCCACCGCAGCCGCCATGTACCACCACGCTCCTTCTTGCAGTCCCTGCCTACCATTGGCGATACTTCCCGCAGAGGTCTTGGTGTAGAGACTAATGGCGCCTTCTCCGCCGCAGATCTGCGTGCCGTTGCCGTTGCATTGGAAGTCGCAGCGGGAGTCGTTGAGTTGCACGCTCAGGCTGGAGAGGTAGGGGGAGCAGTAACATTCGCGGCCTGGACATGATTTTGTTAGTTGAAGTGTCCTTCCCATCGAAGAAGCCCCGCAACTCACCGTATTCTAAACCTGCGAATTTGGAGCCTCCGCAGAAATTCAAACACGTCCCTACATCCATGATGTTCGTCGCGGTGTTCGTTCCGCTTTGTGAGAGGGCCCTCGCGCCGCCTGAGCCCGCGATTGTGTTGGTTTCATTGTAGCAGCCCATGTATTTGTAGCCGAAACCGGTCTGTAATGTGCTGGCACCGCTGCTGGCGCGGGTTGGGTAGACAATGTTGGTTTGCGTCTGGGCGGAGACAAGGCCTGTTGTGAAGAGGAGGAGGGTGAGGAGGATGTTGAGCATGTTGCTGGTTGTTCGTGGCGGTGACATTTTTGGGAGGAGCTGAGATGGTCTGAGAGTGAGGTTGAGAGAGTCGGAGGAGTGGGCGAGTTGCGTGAGTTCACGCAGGCGGTGAATGTGTCGAGTGAAATGTCAGCGTGAGGTTGGGAATACGAGTTGTCGATCGGGGATGCTGGTGGTGGTGGTGATGGTGGATGACGACAGCGGCCGGTAAACAAGAGGCCGGGCGGGAACTTGAACAAACGGGAGAAACAGAAGGTGAGGAAGAATGTAAGAAATGAGCGATTGTGTTGTGTTTCTCCTACCAAGACTGCATATACATGTCACTAAAGATCGTCCGATGTCTTGCTTCACGACAAGGTACCAATAATAATGACAAGAGCTCTTCTCAAGTGGTGGATGCGTGGATGGGCTGATGATTTTCCCTCATCCTTCCCCCCAAGAGGCGCCCGTGCGACCGCCACAAACATACGCCCATGCGCTGCGCCCAGATACACGTGCGACGGCACAGAATACAGCGTAGGGAGTGACAGTGTGTAGTCATATTGACTGCGCATTTATCGCACTTTTTACAGCATGCCCGTGTGAATTCAAACGTAAGGCTCACTCAACGAAAGGCGTACATCTGTCTTCTTGCCCAGGTAAGTCAATGGCATCATCACTCAGGGACACGCGGAAGCCAGCAATTACGCGCAAAGGGGTCCATCCGTTCGTTGGCTTGTTTCCGTTCGCATGTTAGACACGTGGGTCTAGACTTGCTCGGCCGCGCCGGTCGGAGCTTCACGCCATTCGGGCCACACCATTTCCACTCTTTTCATTAGCCAGGAACAGATTTCCATCCCATCAGTGTACTTCTGCATCTCCAATACTATTGCATTACGTTGTTTTGATGGTAATAAGTTGAATATATATTTTGTAATTTGTTTCCTCGCTCGCTGGGTAAAAGCGTCAGGAGATACACATGCGGCTAGAAATTGCCATGAATTCAACACCAGCATGGTCCAAGCCATCGACTCTGACTTCAGCAGATTGGCCTGGAGATATTGCTTCGGAGTCATCGGCTGTCTATGAGCCTGCTCCATCGACCATCAGATCTTGGCCGCAGTGTGCAGGAGAGCTGGTCTGCTCATACAGCATGCCACTGAGTGTTGTGCCTTGTGTGCTGTGTTTTTTGCGGAGTTCCAGGTCGGCTTGCATGACCTTGATGACGGGCCTGTCATAGTGCGAGTGTTTCAAGTGATGACAAACAGTGATGACACGGGGCTATTGTTTTTGAGTTTAAGAGAGTATTCTGCAGAGAACCTTGGAGTTTCCAAAATCCATTACGTCCGAGGTCGACGGAATTGTCGAACATGGAAAGGTTGTTATAATTGCATGATGGGGCGAATGTCGAGATTTCTATATAGAATGCCAGCGTGCCTAAGCAGCCTGGATCAATGATGACAAAACGGTATTCTTTTTCTCTCATGTCCTGTATACGATGCACTGAGTGGAAACATCGGCAACAAGATCTAGATATCCAGCTCGAGAAGCTCTACCGGAGTTACCAATTAGGCAAATCCAGTGAGAGCTATTTGTTACATAGCGCCCTCCCATGAGATACGATGGAATTCTCGCGAAAAGTACCTACGTAACGTCCATCCCTGTGTTACGGTCCACACTCCGTAGACCGCACCAGCGCCCTAGGACAAGTCCCCAGGCGGGCTCAAGCACGTCGGGTTCAAGTAGTCGATGCCTGAGGGTCGCGACTGCCCAACCCTAGGGTGAGCAATATCGTGAGACTTACTACGAAGCTTACGGTGAGCCTTACTAGGGAGCTTACTACGGTAAGCCCGAAGGTGAGACTTACTACCCGGCTTACCTTAATACTATTTTATATATATATATCCTAACTATATAGGTAGATAGGATAACCTTACGTTATCCTATATTTAATTTATATTCTATACTTACTAATTAGAATCTCGACTTTACTCCGTATTTATATTACTATACTATTCTCTAGAACTCTCTTCTAGTAGTATAAACCCTAATCTAGGTCTTTAGATCTTAACACTTTAAACACCCTTATAAAGATATATTACGGGTTAACTTCCTATGTTACGATCCTGGAGCGGACCGGAGCAGACAGCCACGCAAGAGCACTGATCCAAGTCACGTGTCGCCAACCTCAGGGTCACACACCCCACAGAACCACGATGCAAGCAAGGGTTAGGAGAACCCTAAGGAGCAGAGCCTTGGAGCAGCTGCCTGAGCCAGAGCGCTAATCCAGGAGCAGGACTTTGGAGCAGACGCCAGAGCCAGAGCACCGCTCCAGATCAGAGCACTGGAGTCGCTAGCGACTCCAAGTCACTGATCCACACATTTCCTTTGTACCTAACTTACATATATAGGTAGGACGAATGGACCTTATGTCTGTTCGTGTTGAACTCATGTTACCAACTTAACCATTGGAATCAAAGCCCCTTTCAGATATCCTGTTGCACCACTCATTCTCAAGAACCCCCTCGAGTAAACCGCCCTTTGGCAGTTGACCCGTAACACTTTCAACACCCTCGAATATGAGTACCGCGACCGGATCCTCCAAGGGCAAACAGCCAAGCCAGCCCAAGACCCCATCTCCACCGATGCCCGGCACTATGGACGTCGACTCTGACGACAGTGACGACGAGGTCACCAAGAAACAAGTCAAGATCTTGATGCGTCAGCAAGTCGAAGACCAACGCCAACGTCACCAGGAACAGCAACAGCTTCTCAACCTGATCCAGGAGTTGGAAGGACGACTCAGTGCCAGAGGCAACAACCAGGCTACAGGAACAAACCCCAACCCACGTACGGGACACGCCAAGGTTCCTAAGCCTGATCTGTTCTATGGAGACCGTAGCAAGTTCGACAACTGGACACTCCAGGTGGAGCTGTACCTTCGCTTCAATCCCCAGAACAACGAGGATGCAGCCTTGCTGGCCGCAATGCACCTCAGGGGCAGAGCGGAACAATGGGTCAAGAAGTTCCTCAAGCTTAAACTCGAAGGCAGAGAACAGACCGGGATCCTAGACAATTGGCCCAACTTCAAGCATGCCTGTGGACAAATCTTTGGGAATACGACCGAGGCAATCGACGCCGCGCGCTACATCCAGCAACTCAAGCAGACAGGGTTCGTTCGGGACTATGCAGCAAGGTTCCAGGAACTCGCTGTAGTGCTTGACTGGGGCGACGCTGCGCTCGCCGAAATGTTCCGCAAAGGACTCAAAAGCGAAGTCAAAGATGAACTCATGCGATGGGGACCAAGGATCGATGAGCTGGGACCGCTTGTCGAATCCGCTTGCACGATTGGAGATCGACTCTACGAAAGATCCATCGAGCGCAAGTATGAAAACAAGGCAGGAGCCATCCCGATGTATCGCAACACACCAAACATCGGACGCTTCAGAATGCGACCCAGAGACCCCGACGCGATGGAAATCGACAACCTCCAGAAGAAACCGATGACTAACGGAAAGAAAATGACCTGTTACGCCTGTGGAAAGATCGGGCATATCTCCAAGGACTGCCGATCGAAGAACAAGGTGAACAGGGGAACAATCAACAACTCTGAGAAAAACGTCACGTGCTACTCATGCGGCAAGCCCGGGCACTACTCGAAAGAATGTCCCAACAAGAATCACCGACAAATGAACAGCACTGAGAAACACGAAGACAACCCTCAAGGAAAACAAAATGGGCACGAGAACCTTAGCTGGACCGGTTGCTACGATGACTCTTGTGTGATTCACTTCATGGACAAGAGCGGAGCCGGATGGTTTCCCCAGAAACCCAAGAACAAGAGGAAGGTCAGCATCCGTGACCATCCTGAGGTCCCAATAAGGAACGGACCACCGAAACGATACCAGAGCCCAGCGCCTGGATACGTAAAGATATACGAAGAAGTCGAGAAGAAAGAAGCATGCGCCACGGGACATGAGCAGAACGGAGTCTTTCAATCACTCGTTCATGTGAACCACAGCCCCGCTATGGCCCTGATCGATACAGGAGCCAGCGCAAGCTTCATCTCAGCCGACTTGGTGCAGAGACTTGGGATCGCTACCCAACGGAAGAAGCACGCATACCAATTGACCGCCATTGACGGCGCCGAATTACCCACGGTTACCTACGAGACGGTACCAGTAAAGTTGCATATTGACCAGCTGCAGCAGGAAACCCGATTTGATGTCTTAAACAACACAAGGCATGAAATCGTACTCGGATTTCCATGGTTGATGATGAACAAGCCAAGTGTGAATTGGCAGAAGAGAAAACTTGAATTCAAGAATGACAAACCCGCGGTGACGGAAGATCGGTGCAGGACACAGGCACTTGATACGACAACCATAAAGAAGATGGTTCGACAGCTCAACAATGCCGCAGAGGCAGAGACAGGAATGACGATTCCCCAAGAATATCAGCAGTGGAAGGCTCTGTTCGAGGAAGGAAGCTACATGAAGAAACTTCCACCTCACAGACCGTGGGACCACGAAATCAAGCTGGAGCCAGGCAAGACGCCACCCTTCATGCGCATCCGACACAAATCCGAAGACCACCTCAAAGCAGAGAAGGAATGGTTAGACGAGATGCTTAAGAAAGGCTGGGTCAGACCATCCAAATCCCCAGCAGGAGCACCATGCATAGCGGTACCAAAAAAGAATAGAAAGATTCGGATCGTTACAGATTACAGACGACTCAACGAGATCACCATCAAGGACCGCTATCCATTACCAAACATCGGTGAGCTACACGACCGATTGAATGGATCCAAGTGGTTCACCAAGATCGACCTCAGAGACGCATTCTACTCAATTAGAATGAAAGAAGGCGAAGAATGGAAGACAGCGTTCCTTACGTCGAGAGGACTCCATGAGTTTCTCGTGATGCCAATGGGACTTACAAACGCCCCAGCAACACAACAAAGATGCATCAACGACCTCCTCCGAGACCTCCTCGACATTACCGTCGTCGCCTATGTGGATGACATTCTCATCTTCACGAAAGGAGACAAGGAGCAACACGTTAAGGACGTTCAGGAAGTCTTTAAGAGACTCTCCAAGTCCGACTTCCGAACCGCGCCAGAAAAATGCGAATTTCACAAACAAGAAGTCGAGTTCCTCGGGAACATCATAAGCACAGAAGGCTTCCGACCGGATCCTAAGAAGACACAATCG